TTCTATACTTCAGAGGTAGTAAATAATAATAATAATAATAATAATAATAATAATAATAATAATGATTTATTTATACCCCGCCCATCTGGCTGAGTTTCCCCAGCCATTCTGGGTGGCTTCCAATAGAGGGTTAAAAACAATACAGCATTAAATATTAAAAATTTCCCTAAACAGGGCTGCCTTCAGACGTCCTTTAAAGATAAGATAGCTGCTTATTTCCTTCACATCTGAAGGGAGGGTGTTCCACAGGGTGGGCGCCACTACTGAGAAGGCCCTCTGTCTGGTTCCCTGTAACCTCACCTCTTGCAATGAGGGAACCGCCAGAAGGCCCTCGGCGCTGGATCTCAGTGTCCGGGCTGAACGATGGGGTGGAGACGCTCCTTCAGGTATACAGGACCGAGGCCGTTTAGGGCTTTAAAGGTCAGCACCAACACTTTGAATTGTGCTCGGAAACATACTGGGAGCCAATGAAGATCTCTCAACTCCCAGTCACCAGTCTAGCTGCTGCATTCTGGATTAATTGCCGTTTCCGGGTCACCTTCAAAGGTAGCCCCACGCAGAGCGCATCGCAGTAGTCCAAGTGGGAGATAACTAGAGCATGCACCACTCTGGCGAGACAGTCTGCGGGCAGGGAGGGGTCTCAGTAGTGGATCTCTGTATTAAATACCGATTCTGTCCCTCCCCTATTGCACTTTCCCTGCACACAATGGAGCCCCCCCCCATGTTCCCACATACTTTTATCATCTCCATGTGCCCAAACCTTCCCTTCTCCCTTGCAGGGGGTTTCTCAATTAGCCGAGGGCTTTGAGCATGGCTGATGTGAGGGTCAGGAGCGCATGGAGGTGGAAGGAAGGGGGCTAATGAGTTGCATTTGCCCCCCACGACCCTCTTGCTACTCCTGCCGTGTAGCTAATTCCCTTTTCTCTTGGATCGTGGCTCAGCCTCTGGGCTTCCTGCTGTTCCTCAGTCACGCCCAGCTGTTCTGCTTCCCCTTCATCTACTCGCACCTCTCTCTTTGGGTCTGTTTCCTTTATTAAACTATTAAACTCTCAGGGCGGGTGGACCTGGCAGAGCCAGACGGCGTGGACACCATTGTTGTTGCAGCGCTGTTAATTAAGGCATTTGAACGAAATTCATCCAGCATCTCCATCTCACAGATCCTGCAGGCAGCATCCGTAATACAGAAGTACCACAGGTTACATACGCTTCAGGTTACAGACTCCGCTAACCCAGAAATAGTGCTTCAGGTTAAGAACTTTGCTTCAGGATGAGAACAGAAATCGGGCTCTGGCGGCGCGGCAGCAGCAGGAGGCCCCATTAGCTAAAGTGGTGCTTCAGGTTAAGAACAGTTTCAGGTTAAGAACGGACCTCCAGAACGAATTAAGTACTTAACCCGAGGTACCACTGTAATAATAATTGTTGTTGTTTAGTCGTGTCCGACTCTTTGTGACCCCCTGGACCAGAGCACACCAGGCACTCCTGTCTTCCACTGCCTCCTGCAGTTTGGTCAGACTCATGCTGGTAGCATCGAGAACACTGTCCCACCATCTCGTCCTCTGTCGCCCCCTTCTCCTTGTGCCCTCCATCTTTCCCAACATCAGGGTCTTTTCCAGGGAGTCTTCTCTTCTCCTGAGGTGGCCAAAGTATTGGAGCCTCAGCTTCAGGATCTGTCCTTCCAGTGAGCACTCAGGGCTGATTTCCTTCAGAATGGAGGAATAATAAAGTGAGATGAGCGCCGCAACCCCAGAGTCATCCGTAACTGGACCTAATGGTCAGGGGTCCCTTTACCAGAAACACATACACAATCTTTTCATTAAATGGAAAAGTCCCAGCACAAAAACCCCAAATGCTACTCTGCGGCTGCTCACCAAAGGTATTTATAAGTTTGGGGCATAGAGGGGCAGGCTCTCTGGACAAGGGATTTGTGTTGGTTCTGCTTTCGAAACAGCACCTTTCCCCCTTACCAGCGTGAGTAGTTAAATGGCAGTCATTGAACAACCCGCTATTGATTCTGGCTCATTAACTGAAGAACGCCTTCGCTCCCAGAGGGATCAGCTTTTAGAAAGCAAATGCTCAGAGCTGCGTTATCTATATTGTGTAACTCACCAAGGACTTAATTTAGTAAGATTTAGCCGTCCTGTGCTATTCAAGGTGTTTTGCCTATAGCGGGGTGGGGAGACCTGCCTCTCTGCAGATGTTATCAGGCTGTGGCTCTCATCAGCCCTGACTAGTAGGGAGAGAGAAATTTGTCGATTTCTTTGCCCTCTCTGAGTTTCTACTCTTAACAAACTAAAATGCAGCCTCACTTGTGATTTTATTTTGTTTCTAAAAGCTGCACAAAAATTAACCAGCGCTTAACTTGCATCTCTCCTAATGTCGCATTTGCAAAAAGAATCTCTCGCACACACACAAAAAGATCCCTTCATATATATTAGTGTTGTCATACGTCCTGAATTTTCCCAGACATATCCAGAATACTGCAGTAGGCAGCAGTTTCCGGGCGGAAATTGGAAAAAAATGTCTGGGAAGATCCGGATGTATGGCAACCCATGTCGGCAGTGTCGTTTTTTGCAATTTCCTACAAAAATGGCTCAAAAATGACAACTTTGGGAAATATTGTATAAGATGAGAAGTTATGTTGTATGACTTTTGGAACTGATATGTAAAAAAAACCCCCAAAAATGTATTGTTGATGTTTAGTTGTTTAGTCGTGTCCGACTCTTTGTGACCCCCTGGACCAGAGCACACCAGGCACTCCTGTCTTCCACTGCCTCCCCCAGTTTGGTCAAACTCATGTTTGTAGCTTCGAGAAACACTATCCAACCATCTCGTCCTCTGTCGTCCCCTTCTCCTTGTGCCCTCAATCTTTCCCAACATCAGGGTCTTTTCCAGGGAGTCTTCTCTTCTCATGAGGTGGCCAAAGTATTGGAGCCTCAGCTTCAGGATCTGTCCTTCCAGTGAGCACTCAGGGCTGATTTCCTTCAGAATGGGAAGGTTGGATCTTCTTGCAGTCCATGGGACTCTCAAGAGTCTCCCCCAGCACCATAATTCAAAAGCATCCATTCTTTGGCGATCAGCCTTCTTTATGGTCCAGCTTTCACTTCCATACATCACTACTGGGAAAACCATAGCTTTTACTATACGGACCTTTGTTGGCAAGGTGATGTCCTCTACTTTTTAAGATGCTGTCTAGGTACAAAAAACAAAAATGTCAACTTTGGATCCGGCACAGAGCAAGCATGACTCTGTGTCTCCAGCTTCCAGCCCAGCTCTCAAACACAACTCCTACCTCGGAGCTAGGAAAGACCCACCCATTAACCTGGAGGCTATAATCAGTTTTCACTCTTACAACCTACTTCTTTTGGGATGTTGATGAGGGTACTTAAGTGGCCAGCTATGGTCATTGTCTTGCAAAGAAACTTGTCCGATCAGTTCAGCAACCTGCTCTGTTAGATTCCAGCCCTCATCAGGTACAGGAACCCAATAATTGGAAGGGGCTTGGGGCATCATCCAGACTGATCCCCCCAAGCTCACAACGGTTTATTCTGAGAAATCAATAATGGCTGTGGTTTGCTCTGCTGAAATTACGGCTTCTGTGAACGTTGCTGGATCTAGAACTAGCTGTTTCCTAGTTCTGCTGGATCTCTCAGCGGCGTTCGATACCATCGATCATAATATCCTTCTGGACCGTGTAGAGGGGCTGGGAGCTGGGGGCACTGTCATACAGTGGTTCCGCTCCTTCCTCCTGAGCCGTGTTCAGAAAGTGTGTGTGGGGAGGATGAGTGTTCAGACCCCTGGGCTCTCACTTGTGGGGTGCCTCAGGGTTCTGTCCTCTCCCCCATGCTTTTCAACATCTACATGCAGCCGCTGGGAGAGATCATCAGGGGGTTTGGGCTGGGTGTTCATCAATATGCAGATGATACCCAGCTCTACCTCTCTTTTAAATCAGAACCAGTGAAGGCGGTGAAGGTCCTGTGTGAGTGTCTGGAGGCGGTTGGAGGATGGATGGCGGCCAACAGATTGAGGTTGAATCCTGACAAGACAGAAGTACTGTTTTTGGGGTCTAGGAGGTTGGCGGGTGTGGAGGACTCCCTGGTTCTGAATGGGGTAACTGTGCCCCTGAAGGACCAGGTGCGCAGCCTGGGAGTCATTTTGGACTCACAGCTGTCCATGGAGGCACAGGTCAATTCTGTGTCCAGGGCAGCTGTTTATCAGCTCCATCTGGTTCGCAGGCTGAGACCCTACCTGTCTGTCTCGCCAGAGTGGTGCATGCTCTGGTTATCTCCTGCTTGGACTATTGCAATGTGCTCTACATGGGGCTACCTTTGAAGGTGACCCGGAAACTACAACTAATCCCGAATGCGGCAGCTAGACTGGGGACTGGGAGCGGCCGCCAAGACCACATAACACCAGTCTTGAAAGACCTATATTGGCTCCCAGTACGTTTCCAAGCACAATTCAAAGTGTTGGTGTTGATCTTTAAAGCCCTAAACGGCCTCGGCCCAGAATATCTGAAGGAGCATCTCCACCCCCATCGTTCTGCCCGGACACTGAGGTCCAGCGCCGAGGGCCTTGTGGTGGTTCCCTCACTGCGAGAAGCCAAGTTTCAGGGAACCAGGCAGAGGGCCTTCTCAGTAGTGGCGCCCGCCTGGTGGAACGCCCTCCCACCAGATGTCAAAGAGAAGAAGAACTATCAAACTTTTAGAAGACATCTGAAGGCAGCCCTGTTTAGGGAAGCTTTTAATGTTTGATGTATTACTGTATTTTAATATTTGGTTGGAAGCCACCCAGAGTGGCTGGGGAAGCCCAGCCAGATGGGCAGGGTATAAATAATAAATTATTATTATTATTATTATTATTATTATTATTATTATTATTAATCTGGGAGGAGAGGGCTCAGAGGTCAGTTGTTTCCACTGAATATTACTATCTGCCTGTCTCTTTCTCTCTCTCTCTGCCCACCTGCTGACCACAAAGCCACTCCAGCCGGGTGAGGGATAATGTCTAACAACATGGCCAAGATTGCAGAGGCACGGAAGACGGTGGAGCAGCTGAAACTGGAAGTGAACATCGACCGGATGAAGGTGAGCTTCCCCATCTCCTCTCCTCACCTACTGCATGAGGTGCACTTCCATGTACAGTGGTACCTCGGGTTACATACGCTTCAGGTTACAGATGCTTCAGGTTACAGACTCCGCTAACCCAGAAATAGTGCTTCAGGTTAAGAACTTTGCTTCGGGATGAGAACAGAAATCGTGCTCCGGCGGCACGGTGGCAGCAGGAGGCCCCATTAGCTAAAGTGGTGCTTCAGGTTAAGAACAGTTTCAGGTTAAGAACGGACCTCCGGAACGAATTAAGTACTTAACCTGAGGTACGACTGTATACAACACCGTGTTTCAGTTCTGCGCGGTGAAGCAGCCGAACAGTCTCCAAGGGCAGGCCGGCCTGCCGTGCGGTAGTCTAGCTTAAGTGTTGCAAAAGGCGTGCTCACTAGTTCCAACGAAAGAAGAACGGCAGGCAAAATTATTGGACTATGCAGAACTGGACAAAATGACAGGAAGGATTCAAAACCTGCGGGACCAGAGATTTACAGAAGATTGAAAGAAGTATAGGAATTATTTGAAGAGCAACTGTAATCGACAAATTATGCTAGCAGGACTACAAGAAGTTTTGTAAGGGGAAATATACGAAGTGTTATAAAGTAGGAAAAGATAAGAGATATTGGTTATGAGTTTGACATATAATAGGAAAAATAAGAAATGCATACTAGATTGGGAAAATTTTCCAGACAGTACTGATGGAAGTCAAACAAATGGAATAAGATGTAAAAGTATATTTAATTACTGTTGTAAATGATATGTTTATACACACACACACACACACACACTGTATTTTTCGCTCCATAGGGTGCACCGCACCAATAAGGCGCACCTAGTTTTTCGAGGGGGAAATCAAGAAAAAAAATATTTAAGGAGTGCGCAGCTCCTGCGGGCTTTTCTACGAGGAGGGAGAAGGAACTGACTGGCCGCATCAGTCCCTTCTCCCTCCTGAGGAAGAGCCCGCAACAGCCGCGCGGAGCGTGTGTGCGGCTCTTGGGGGCTTTTCCTGCCTGCCTCCCCCCTGCATTCGCTCCATAAGATGCACACACATTTCCCCTTACTTTTTAGGAGGGAAAAAGTGCGTCTTATGGAGCGAAAAATACGGTGTATATATATATATATGGTGTGCTGACTCTCTTTCCCTCCGTGGCAGGTGTCCAAGGCAGCGGCCGACCTCTTGGCCCACTGCGAAGCCCACGCCAAAGAGGACCCTCTGGTGACCCCGGTGCCATCTGCGGAGAACCCCTTCCGTGAGAAACGGCTCTTTTGCATCGTGCTGTGAGCCTGGAAGCGGATTGGACGGGAGAGACAAATGGCAGACTCCTCCCACTTCCAGACCAGGGCGGTGGTGGGCGGAACTTCCTCTTGTATGTTCGTGGTACACCCTGATCCCCTTTCAAATCCCCATTTCTAACCTGGGCCTATCTCCATCCAGCAAAAAAACCCCCACAAAAAACAGAACTGTGTGTATTCTGTAGAGAAAATGTGTCTTAGCTTCTTCTTTTTTAAAGCAAGTTACTGGTCCTCATTGCTGTCAAAAATAAGCTTGTCCGGCCTGTGTTGTTTCCTGATCCCAATGATAAACAAATAAACCCTGGTATGTGTACATGGTGCCCCTGACAGTTTCTCTGGTAGGCAGATGTGCCCGCAGGCCCAAGAAGGTTGGCAACCTTCTGCCCCAGGGGCTGGGAGGGAGGAAGTGACCTCAACATGGGTTGATCTAGATGAGCCCTGATGATCCCTTCCAATTCAGCAATTCTATGGTTCTATGATCTCCTTCCATTCAAGGAATCGCCCCCAGGGTACTGTTAGAGGAGAATTCTACCTCCCATCTCCTCCTTTGTTTTTCCTTTCCAATAAATGTTGAACTGATTATTTCCACACCTCTTTCCTGTTTCCACCAACCACGCTCTCGGGGCATCGAGTCCACAAGAGGCAAAATGTCCTAATGGAGGTGGTGTTCTTTGACGGTTATCTCACTTTTCTGCGGAACAGCAGCAAGACAGAACAGTTATCTTAGCAGCCTTTCCATCAAACATGGGAGGACAGAAGGCAGGCGTTCCCGGAAGCCCACGGCCGGGTTTCAGAGCTTAATCAATCACACACATGTTTTTGAGGGGAGAGTTAGGGAAATGGTGCAGTTCCTTAGATAGAGTGAGCAGCCCCTCTCCCCAATTTTTAAATCTGTTGCGGTTTCGTGGCTGATGCGGTTTGAAGCGGGAGACGGATTTCCACCCCTGGCCTCAGTGGGAGAAACGTAAGATTGTACTGCTGAGAAGCCATTGCCAAAACATTGGGGGCTTTTAAGAAGAAGCCAATTTGCCAACAGCGATGCTGACAGGCACTCATCCCATCAGTAGTTTTTCCTGCACCTTCTTAAAGGTAAAGGTAAAGGGACCCCTGACTATTAGGTCCAGTTGTGGCCATCTCTGGGGTTGCGGTGCTCATCTCGCTTTATTGGCCAAGGGAGCCGGCGTACAGCTCCTGGGTCATGTGGCCAGCATGACTAAGCCGCTTCTGGCGAACCAGAGCAGCGCACGGAAACGCCATTTACCTTCCCGCCGGAGCGGTACCTCTTTATCTACTTGCACTTTGAGGTGCTTTCGAACTGCTAGGTTGGCAGGAGCAGGGTCTGCGCAACGGGAGCTCACCCCGTCGCGGGGATTCGAACCGCCAACCTTCTGATCAGCAAGTCCTAGGCTCTGTGGTCAGGCACTCATCCCATCAGTGGGTTTTCCTGCTCCTTCTTAAGCACTCCATAACTCAGCCTTTCCCCAAACTGGTGCCCCCGGCCCCAGTTGATTCTTTGGAGTGCAATTATCATCATTTGTGTTCTTTGGCTGCGCTGAATTGGGTGTTGAGAACTGTTATCCAAAACATCTGGAAGGCACCAGGAAGGAGTTTGGCTGCACTAACCACTCTCATGGACTGCAACAGTCCCATGGACTGCAAGAAGATCAAACGTATCCATTCTTCAGGAAATCAGCCCTGAGTGCTCACTGGAAGGACAGATCCTGAAGCTGAGACTCCAATACTTTGGCCACTTCATGAGAAGAGAAGACTCCCTGGAAAAGACCCTGATGTTGGGAAGGATGGAGGGCACAAGGAGAAGGGGACGACAGAGGACGAGATGGTGGGACAGTGTTCTCGAAGATACCAGCATGAGTTTGACTAAACTGTGGGAGGCAATAGAAGACAGGAGTGCCTGGCGTGCTCTGGTCCAGGGGGTCACAAAGAGTCAGACACGACTAAACGACTAAACAACAACAACCACTCTACCTCATTATTGCATGTGTTGGTGTCCTGACATGTTTTTTCGTTAGGCGCCCAAAAGGCAAAAAAGGGTTTATCAGCAAAATTGGCTAATGATTGCTCTTTTAATCTTGCTTTATGTTCTCTTTTTCCTTCCCCAGCAAAGGTTTGCATTAGTATAACCATAATGTTTAACTTCTGTCGGCCACAATGAGCAAATAACTCTCTGCTTTCTCAATTAGTCTATAATCCATTCCAAAAGCCTTGATTTAAGTTCTGCTAATTTGCCATTTTTCTTGATGATCAGCCCAGTAACTGCACTGCTGGCTCCGTCTAGGCCATGAACTTCTTCTTGAGATCTCCCAGTCTTCCGTCAAAAGAGCCTTGTTCCTCCATCTGTGTTTTGACGCACTGAGCAGGGCGCATGTAAAGGAACAAATCACGTCCTCATCTGTCACATGACGCCAGTGAAAGGGTGTCCCAGTCAATGCATGCTGGTGATTCTGTAAACTGAAAATCTAAGAAATTTCAGCTCACAAAGTAGAATGGAGGAAATGTAGCTCCGCGCTAAACCGCAGTTCTGAGGATTTTGTGCGTGTGAGGATGTGCTTTAAATGTACAGTATGTATGTAGAGTAAGAGAGGAGGCCTGGAAGAAGGAGCCGAGCATGAAGCTTCTTTCAAGAATATTTGTTGCTGTTTAGTCATTTAGTCGTGTCCGACTCTTCGTGGACCCCTGGACCAGAGCACGCCAGGCACTCTGGTCTTCCACTGCCTCCCGCAGTTTGGTCAAACTCATGTTTGTAGCTTCGAGAACACTGTCCAACCATCTCATCCTCTGTCGTCCCCTTCTCCTTGTGCCCTCAATCTTTCCCAACATCAGGGTCTTTTCCAGGGAGTCTTCTCTTCTCATGAGGTGGCCAAAGTATTAGAGCCTCAGCTTCAGGATCTGTCCTTCCAGTGAGCACTCAGGGCTGATTTCCTTCAGAATGGAAAGGTTGGATCTTCTTGCAGTCCATGGGACTCTCAAGAGTCTCCTCCAGCACCATAATTCAAAAGCATCCATTCTTTGGCTTCTTTATGGTCCAGCTCTCACTTCCATACAACACTACTGGGAAAACCACAGCTTTAACTATACGGACCTTTGTTGGCAAGGTGATGTCTCTGCTTTTTAAGATGCTGTCTAGGTTTGTCATTGCTTTTCTCCCAAGAAGCAGGCGTCTTTTCCTTTCGTGACTGCTGTCACCATCTGCAGTGATCATGGAGCCCAAGAAAGTAAAATCTCTCACAGCCTCTATTTCTTCCCCTTCTATTTGCCAGGAGGTGATGGGACCAGTGGGCCAATATCTTAGGGGTTTTTTTATGTTGAGCTTCAGACCATATTTTGCACTCTCCTCTTTCACCCTATTATATTATATTATATTATATTATATTATATTATATTATTACTATATAAGAAAATTGGAATGCTGTTGTCATGCTGTAGTTCATGTGGCCACCAATGGGCGGTGATGTGATGATGGAACAACAAGGCAGCAAGAAAGCAGGTAAATTGTTCAAAGAAGGCTGAGTGGTGTATTGAAGCCTACTTCTGGACTTCTGCAAGTAGTCTGACTGGGCACCGTGGGAAATATGCCTTTTTTCCTGGCAGCAAAGCAAAAGACAAGGGCCGTCTACCAGCCATGTATCATGCCCTTCCAGAATCTGAGAATGCAGCCACAAAGTCCCCTCCATGGCAAGGAACAGGTCTCCCACGCTCTTCGGCTGATTCACCCACCCATCCAAGAAAGCATCATTTCTCGGCAAAGATGATCCCAGAAGACCTCTCTCTCTCTCTCTCTCTCGTATATAAAAAATCTGTGTCAGAGATTTTGAAGAAAACTGCAGCTAGAATCGGGACTCTCCGAGGATTAATTGGAATGAATCTTGGGAATAACTTCCTTTTAAGAAATGTTTCATAATCCACTTGGCTTGTGACCTCTGGCACTCCAGGCTGCAGAGGCAGTAAATTCACTATAACCTCATCGATACATAAAGAGGAGGGGAAACCCCAGCAGCAAGGGTCAAGGGAGCATTTGGAAAAGGCCTGTGAGGAAGCTGGGAAAGAATTTGCATGAATCACAATGACAGATGGAAGCTATGAATAACGAAGGGGGGGGGAGCTAGCTCACTCCACATTGACTCAGAAACCAGAGAATCTGATTGATGACCTAGGCAGTGTCAAATATTTAGGTAAACAGCTGGACCATCAAGAAGGCTGATCGCCGAAGAATTGATGCTTTTGAATTCTGGTGCTGGAGGAGACTCTTGAGAGTCCCATGGACTGCAAGAAGATCAAACCTCTCCATTCTGAAGGAAATCAGCCCTGAGTGCTCACTGGAAGGACAGATCCTGAAGCTGAGGCTCCAATACGACTAAACAACAACTGCACATGCTCAGACTCTTTCTCAAAGGGATAGCAAAGGTCAACTCCAGGGGTCAGCAAACTTTTTCAACAGGGGGCCGGTCCACTGTCCCTCAGACCTTGTGGGGGGGCAGACTATATTTCGAGGAAAAAAGAAAAAAGAACAAATTCCTATGCCCCACAAATAACCCAGAGATGCATTTTAAATAAGAGGACACATTCTACTCATGTAAAAACACGCTGATTCCCGGACAGTCTGCGGGCCAGATTTAGAAGGCGATTGGGCCGGATCTGGCCCCCGGGCCTTAGTTTGCCTGTTGTTGTTCAGTCGTTTAGTCATGTCCGACTCTTCGAGACCCCCTGGACCAGAGCACACCAGGCACTCCTGTCTTCCACTGCCTCCCGCAGTTTGCTCAAACTCATGCTGGTAGCTTCGAGAACACTGTCCATCCATCTCGTCCTCTGTCGTCCCCTTCTCCTTGTGCCCTCCATCTTTCCCAGCATGAGGGTCTTTTCCAGGGAGTCTTCTCTTCTCATGAGGTGGCCAAAGTATTGGAGCCTCAGCTTCAGGATCTGTCCTTCCAGTGAGCACTCAGGGCTGATTTCCTTCAGAATGGAGAGGTTTGATCTTCTTGCAGTCCATGGGACTCTCAAGAGTCTCCTCCAGCACCAGAATTCAAAAGCATCCATTCTTCGGCGATCAGCCTTCTTTATGGTCCAGCTCTCACTTCCATACGTCACTACTGGGAAAACCATGGCTTTAACTATATGGACCTTTGTTGGCAAGGTGATGTCTCTGCTTTTTTTTTTTTGTCAACTCCATATTTAAAGCACACACACACACACACACACAAGAATCCTGGGACTTGCAGTTTACCCCTCACAGGGCTACCATTTCCCTCAGGATCTTTAACGAACTACAGTTTCTGGGATGTTTGGAGGGCAGTAATACGCCTTAAATGTGCATTGAATATCATTCAAATGTGTGATGTGGTTCTGCCCCTGCAAGTAGCCAGACTCTCTGAATTTTATCAGTTGAAAACCAGACCTGTGGGTTTATTTTAAAAAATGAAAAGAAGCTTATTGCTGTTTCAACGTAAATAGAACAGAGCCCGGGCAAAGTGGTACAATAGCTTATTACAGGAGGAACAATAAGGAAAAGAAAGGAAAGTTTACATTACAACTTTAATTGGTCTTAAGTAAATAAAGAGGGCAATTAGGATAATTCAAAAGTGTAAGATCAATAAGCGAGACAAGTTGAAAGATTGCAAAGGCTTTGTGAGTCGGGCAGAGGCTACAGCTTGAATATAAAAGAGGGAGTTTTCACTTTTCACTTAAGTTATTAATTTAAATCCAGTGTGAGCACACACAGATACCCATGTGGTTACTGATTCTGACAGCTGCATTTTTTTAACCAGCAGAGTTTGCCCATAGAGGCAGGGGGGCCCAGGATGGGCAAATCTGCCAATTCTGCTTTCTCATTTCTCCAGACTCGGGTTCAGATTTCCGCATTATTGACTTCTTGACTCCTTGCTTCTTAACCCTCGGACCCCTGACTTCGTGACTCCTTGCTTCTTGACCCTCGGACCCCTGACTTCTTGACTCCTTGCTTCTTGACCCTCGGATCCCTGACTTCTTGACTCCTTGCTTCTTGATCCCCGGACCCCTGACTTCTTGACTCCTTGCTTCTTGACCCTCGGACCCCTGACTTTGTGACTCCTTGCTTTTTGACCCTTGGACCCCTGACTTTGTGACTCCTTGCTTCTTAACCCTCGGACCCTTGCTTCGTGACTCCTTGCTTCTTAACCCTCGGACCCCTGACTTTGTGACTCCTTGCTTCTTAACCCTCGGACCCCTGACTTCGTGACTCCTTGCTTCCTGATCCTCAGACCCCTGACTTCGTGACTCCTTGCTTCTTGACCCTCAGACCCCTGACTTCGTGACTCCTTGCTTCTTGACCCTCGGACCCCTGACTTCGTGACTCCTTGCTTCTTGATCCTCGGACCCCTGACTTCGTGACTCCTTGCTTCTTGATCCTCGGACCCCTGACTTCGTGACTCCTTGCTTCTTGATCCTCGGACCCCTGACTTCGTGACTCCTTGCTTCTTGACCCTTGGACCCCTGACTTCGTGACTCCTTGCTTCCTGACCCTCAGACCCTTGGCTTCCTGAATCCTGGCTTCTGGACCCCTGTTCCTGCTCCCACCCCGCCATCTTGCCTCTGGTCCCGACGTCCCCTGCCAGGACTTCGATCGCCCATGAACCGGACCGTGACACCGGGCATTTGAACCTGGAACCATCTGCATGCAAAGCAGATGGTTTTTCCACTGAGCCACGGGCCATTCTCCATCTTGCTGGGGACAGATCATCTGCTTTCACTCTAGCCCTCTTCTCTGGAACTGCCAGGTCTTGTTTACGTGTCTCTCTTGCCCACACGATGCTGTTGGCAGCCCATTGGATTCCAGTATTGTGGTGTCACCTTCCTTTCCCTTTCCCCTCCAGGCCTCATTCATGATTTATTCATTTATTGCATTTCTACGCACCCCACTTTTTCCCCTCCAAGGAGCTCGTGGTTTTCCCGCTGCCCATTTAATCCCCACAACAATCTTGAGAGGTAGGGTTAGGCTGAGAGGCAGTGATGGGTCCCCACACTCTCACCCACTGAGCTTCAGGGCCAAATGGGGATTTGAACTCTAGCCACTACACCACACTGTCTCTCACAGATGATTATGTGTATTTTTGTGTGTGGAAAAACCACAACTGCAGCGCCAGCCCGACCAGCTTTCCAATGCTTGAAATTTGAGCCCGTTTTATGGCTTCCTGTGGCTCTGAGATGTGGGGTTGTTGTGGTTAAGGCTTGGCATTCCCTTATTGAAATGTATGGTAGATAATGATCCAACGCTGAAAACATTAGAGACTGGGAAATGGAATTAAGCCCAATTGCCTCCTGTTGTAATGCTTCAGATGAAGAGGGGAAACAAAAAGGGTTGTGACCTAGAAACAAATTAGTGCTGTGCCTTTGAATCAGAATTAAATTTGGCAACAAAAAACTTGCGCTGTTATGTTTACCAGCAGGAAATTTACCAGTTGAAATGTTCCCATCACTTCGTTCTTCCCGTACAGGGAAAAGCTTCATCTGTCAGAGGAGAGAAATATGGCTGGTATGTTTTTTGTTTTTAAAAAGTAGTAGTGGCACTCCCTTTACAACAACCCTGTGAGGTAGGCTAGAGTGACACGCACAGAGGCTGGCCCAAGGTCACCCAGTAAACTTCACGACTGAGCAGGGATTTGAACCCAGATATTTGGACTCAAAGTGCACTGAACTATTTTAAAAATAAATTATATGGGTGTTATTACATTTATTTCCCATCCGTCCTCCATGGGAGCGTAAGGTGGTTCTCCCCATTTTATCCACACAACAACCCTGTGGGGTAGGTTAAGCTGAGAGACTTGAGGCCCAGTGAGCTTCATGAACGAGCAGTGATTTGAACCCTGGTCTCACAGGCTGTTGCTGCTGCAATAATAATAATAATAATAATAATAATAATAATAATATATTATTTATACCCCGCCCATCTGGCTGAGTTTCCCCAGCCACTCTGTGCGGCTTCCAATCAAGTGTTAAAAACAATACAGCATTAAATACTTCCCTAAACAGGGCTGCCTTCAGATGTCTTTTAAAGAGAAGATAGCTGATTATTTCCTTCACATCTGGAGGGAGGGCGTTCCACAGGGCGGGCGCCACTACCGAGAAGGCCCTCTGTCTGGTTCCCTGTAACCTCACTTCTCGCAATGATGGAACCACCAGAAGGCCCTCAGTGCTGGATCTCAGTGTCCGGGCTGAACGATGGGGGTGGAGATGCTCCTTCAGGTATACTGGGCCTTTGAGGCTGTTTAGGGCTTTAAAGATCAGCACCAACACTTTGAATTGTGCTCGGAAACGTACTGGGAGCCAATGCAGATCTCTCAGGACCGGTGTTATATTATGTCAGCGGCCACTCCCAGTCACCAGTCTAGCTGCTGCATTCTGGATTAATTGCAGTTTCCAGGTCACCTTCAAAGGTAGCCCCACGTAGAGCGCGTTGCAGTAGTCCAAGCTGCAACTTTCCAACCACTGGCTCTCTGGGTAGCACATCCTCAACTTTTAGAATAGGGTGGGTAGAGGAGCACCCAAAAGAAATTACATACTCTCACCCGCATGCTCCCTTTGGTTATGTAGTTCTGCTGGTGCAATAAAAGGAGCGATCAGCAACTCCCAAGTGTTCCCAAGAAAAGAGTTGTGAAGTGCACTCCTTCATTCAGCCAGAAGAGGGCGCTGGAGGATACAATCCAAAGGATGGCAGACAGGGCTCAAGAAAGAAAGGATGGTGTAGGTATAAGGTGTAATATCTCGAGCAAACCAGGAGGGGTCGCTAGAGAGCACATAAACTCCAGATTACTGGGAAGAAAACCAGGCGGCTGGGCTGGGCTTCACCACAGTCTCAAGGATCGGGAGAGACAGGCCAGCACCATGAAGGGAGATGGTGAGGTGTGTTTGGATCAGGAGCCATGGAGAACTGTCCAAGCACTGCGAGGAAGAAGGAGTGCAGGCCCCTCAGCTGCCCCACAAGTAATGACCTGACTTCTTGTAAACCTAATAAGTTTCCTAATAAGTTAAGGGAGAGCGTTGTGCCCGTCCCCAAAGAAATGAAGATTTAGACAGGCTTTACAGGCACGGTAGCTGGCAGCCCTCGCCAAACATCCCTTTGGCAAGAGGTGGGCAATCCATCATGCGGCAGCTGCGCCCGATCGCTGCCTTGCTCAAGGAGGATGGAGAGCATCCAAGCAGGACCCTGAGAACCAGCTGCCTTTCTCCGCAACCGACTGAGGACCCTTCCTTGTTCTCTCGAGTCCCAAACACCATCACCCAGAATGCGTGCAAAATTCCTACGCTCAAACAAAATCCCTTCTCCGAGGCTGGCGCACGTCACGCCAATCAAGCACATCTGCATGTATTTTTGCATGCATAATTTTGTTTCCTGTAGCCACAGAGAACTGAAATCCCATGGGAATTGTCCTTTCCTTCTTTCTTTCCTAAGGAGACCCTAAAGGTAAAGGGACCCCTGACCATTAGGTCCAGTCGTGACCGACTCTGGGGTTGCGGCGCTCATCTAGCTTTACTGGCCTAGGGAGCCGGCGTACAGCTTCCGGGTCATGTGGCCAGCATGACTAAGCCGCGTCTGGTGAACCAGAGCAGCGCATGGAAACACCGTTTACCTTCCCGCCGGAGCGGTACCTATTTATCTACTTGCACTGGTGTGCTTTCGAACTGCTAGGTTGGCAGGAGCAGGGACCGAGCAACGGGAGCTCACTCCGTTGTGGGGATTCGAACCGCTGACCTTCCGATCGGCAAGTCCTAGGCTCTGTGATTTAACCCACAGTGCCACCCACGTCCTGTTGAGACTCCTTAGGGTAGTGATAAAGCGGGATATCAAATCCAAACTACTACTACTACTACTATTCTTCTTCTTCTTCTTCTTCTTCTTCTTCTTCTTCTTCTTCTTCTTCTTCTTCTTCTATCATGCAACCTCTTCCTCACCTTTTCTCTAAACTAAAAAGTCCCAAACATTGAAATTGTTCATGCAGGAATTGCTCCATTTTCTGAACCTTTCCCAACTTTAGGATATCCTTTTTGAACTGAGGCAACCAGAACTGGACACGGTATTCCAGATGCAGATGCACCATGGATTTGTATAATGGCATTATATCGGCAGTTTTATTTTTCAGTTCCTTCTCTAATGGTCCCTGGCACGAAATTTGCCTTCTTCACGGCCGTCATGCATTGACTCGACATCATCATCGAGCTATCTGCTTCTTACTGTGACCTCAGGGTCTTTGCATCACACTGCCAAGAACCGAGGCAGTAAAAAATGTCGCTCTCAGATCTGCGAGTCCTCAGAGGCCTCCTTTTTTTTATTTTCTGGGACAAAACCTTGGTCAGATCCCAGCAGACAAAACACAAGAGAGACTTGCTGAAGTTGGTCCTCGCGCGACTGACCTAACCTCGCAGTGTCACTGGGCGGATGGTTGCAGGATGTTGCAAAGGACTGTTGAGAAAGGCCTGAGATCATCGTCCCGCAGTAATGGATGGATGATTTCATTTGGAAAAGGGCCTGGAACAGAGGCTGCTGAATAATGAATGCTGACTTCCCAGCGGCGTTAAGACAAAACGATCAGCTGGAAGCCGAATGCCTTGAAAGGGCAAGCCAATTAAAGCCGAGTTTATCTCTGGCACAAAGGACGGAAACATCTCCCACCTGTTGCACTGCCAGGAGTCTGGGCTGAAAAGGCCAGAGAAAGGGGTGTGTGGCAAAGAAGGTGAGAAGGGTCTCTAGATACAGAGGTCACAACCTTCAGGGGTCCTAAGCTCCTAAATTGGTGGTGGGCCCCCACCATAGCTGTCAACTTTCAGATTTGAAAATAAGGGATCAGCAGCCTCGAAAATAAGGGATCAGCTGCATAGCTGTCAACTTTCAGATTTGAAAATACAGTGGTACCTCAGGTTAAGTATTTAATTTGTTCGGGAGGTCCGTTCTTAACCTGAAACTGTTCTTAACCTGAGGCACCACTTTAGCTAATGGGGCCTCCCGCTGCCACCGCTGCACGGTTTCTGTTCTCATCCTGAAGCAAAGTTCTTAACCTGAAGCACTATTTCTGGGTTAGCGGAGTCTGTAACCTGAAGCGTATGTAACCTGAAGCATATGTAACCCGAGGTACCACTGTAAGGGATCAGCAGCCTCACCTGTCCCGGGGACAGTCTACGGGATATCTAACAATCCGGGAGAGCAGCAGGAAGCAGCAGGAAATGACGCTGAAATAAGGGAATTTCCTGCAAAAAAAAGGAAGGTTGACAGCTATGGCCCCCACATACATAACTCAAAATAAAAACAAGATGAAACCCTAAAACGATATGTTAAAATAATGAATAATAATAATAATTTATTATTTATACCCCACCCATCTGGCTGAGTATCCCCAGCCACTCTGGGCGGCTTCCAATCAAGTGTTAAAAACAATACAGCATTAAATATTAAAAACTTTCCTAAACAGGGCTGCCTTTAGATGTCTTTTAAAGGTAAGATAGCTGCTTATTTCCTTCACATCTGAAGGGAGGGCATTCCACAGGGCGGGAGCCACCACTGAGAAGGCCCTCTGTCTGGTTCCCTGTAACCTCGCTTCTCGCAATGAGGGAACCGCCAGGAGGCCCTTAGCGCTGGACCTCAGTGTCCGGGCTGAACAATGGGGGTGGAGATGCTCCTTCAGGTATACAGGACCGAGGCCATTTAGGGCTTTAAAGGTCAGGACCAACATACGTTCAATTGCAACACATGATGGGGTCTGATTTTTTCCGCATTATTTCAATCTGCATTAGTAGGATGCTCCCCTGATTTAGGTGGGGATCAGCAATGAAAAGGGAACAGAAAGATGAGGGAAGAATGTGGGGTGCTGTAAGTAAGTCTAATAAAGCCATGTATTATTATTATTATTATTATTATTATTATTAAGCTACGGGACCGCCTCTCCTGGTATGTCCCATGGAGGACCTTACAGTCTTCAAATAAAAACATCTTGAAGGTCCCAGGCCACAGGGAGGTTAGGCTGGCCTCAACCAGAGCCAGGGCTTTTTCGGCCGTGGCCCCGATCTGGTGGAACGCTCTGTCATAAGAGACTAGAGCCCTGCGGGACTTGACATCTTTCCGCAGGGCCTGCAAGACAGAGCTGTTCCACCAGGCCTTTGGTCAGGGCGCAGCCTGACTCCCTCCTTTGGTAATCCTCACAGAACTCTAGCCCAATGGTTGTCATTAATTTGATTTTGAATTGATTTTTAAATGAATTGATTTTAGAATGTTGTGTTATTGTTGTTAGCCACTTTGAGCTTGGCTTCTGCTGGGGAGGGCGGGATATAAATAATTTATTAGTAGTAGTAGTAGTAGTAGTAGTAGTAGTAGTAGTAGCTAATGGGTCTCAAACCTTCGGTGAATTAGTGACTTCCCCTACAGGAAAAGTGTGGATGAAGCAGATGAGACCAAGAGGGGGTTGAACAGTCAAGAAGGGGGTTTCTGCACCTGCTGTAGAAGGAAGTGAGGGGCAAGTGGGGCTCATCCACCTGGGAAGGGAGCAAATCTAGCAGAAGGAAAACTCTGATCCTAAGACTCCGCTGCCTTTCAGAGAAAAGGCTAAGGAGTAAACCCTACACAAATGTGGAGCGGATTCCCTAAGACGGTTGGATGGAGGAGGAGGAGGAGTTTGGATTTGATATCCCGCTTTATCACCACCTGAAGAAGTCTCAAAGTGGCTAACATTCTCCTTTCCCTTCCTCCCCCCACAACAAACACTCTGTGAGGCGAGTGGGGCTGAGAGACTTCAGAGAAGTGTGACTGGCCCAAGGTCACCCAGCAGCTGCATGTGGAGGAGCGGAGACGCAAACCCGGTTCACCAGAATATGAGTCTACCGCTCCTAACCACTACACCACACTGGCTCTCATGGCCTTCTTCCGGCAACTCCTGCAGCCAAACTGGTACCAAATGTTTTGCTCTGCTTTCCTTTGGACCACATCAGTGAGGTCGAGAGGGGGGTCTTGTCGTCTGAGGAGCCCAGCACCCCCAGACACACTGCCTGGGCTTACGCCACTTCAGTGCCGCTAACACAGCAGTTTGACTTCACCCCTGGAGGCGCACTCCATTGCCTCTCAGGACAGAAAGTAAAAGGTAAAGGTTAAAGGACCCCTGGACAGTTAAGTCCAGTCAAAGGCGACTCTGGGGTTGCGGCACTCATCTCGAGGGAGCCGGCGTTTGTCCACAGACAGTTTTCCGGGTCATGTGGCCAGCATGACTAAGCCGCTTCTGGCAAACCAGAGCAGCGCACAAAAACGCCGTTTACCTTCCCGCCGGAGCGGTACCTATTTATCTACTTGCACTGGTGTGCTTTCGAACTGCTAGGTAGGCAGGAGCAGGGACTGAGCAATGGGAGTGCACCCCGTCGCGGGGATTCGAACCGTCGATCTTCTGATCGGCAAGTCCTAGGCTCTGTGGTTTAACCCACAACACTACCCTTGAGGTACCACTGTACCCTATTCCAAACTTAAAAATGGAAAGCGTAATGCTGGTGGTCAACAAAAGAGGATTTAAAGACTGTCTCAAGGCAAATCTTTAAAAAGTACTATAAACACCGACAACTGGGAAACACTGGCCTGCTAGCGCTCCAGTTGGAGAACAGCCTTGACCAAAGGTGTCATGGGCTTTGAAGACACTCGAACTCAGGGCGAAAGGGAGAAACGTGCTAAGAGGAAGGCACGCTTGGCAAATCCACACTGTGATCAACTCCTGCCCGGAAACCTATGTCCCCACTGTGGAAAAACGTGTGGATCCAGAATTGGCCTCCACAGTCACTTACGGACTCATTGTTAAAACCGTGTTTATGGAAGACAATCTTACTCAGCTATGAGTGATTGTCCAAGAAAAAGAAGCCTGAGTTAGTGCCCTGTTGCAGACATTGGGTGCTACTACCGAAGCTGCCCAGCAGGGGAAGCCAGGGTCTTCCATTCCAGCAAATTATTGACGGCCTCCATTGCTCACTCTACCGCAGGCAACCGTAAGATGGATCCACACGACTCCTCTCCAAGGACCCTCCCAGAAAACAGTTGACAACCCCGAAGGAAGTATGGGTGGAGATGGAGAGAATGAGAAGGCTAGAGAAAAAGACGCACGAATGGTTGCCAGAGTGGTGCATGCTCTAGTTATCTCCCGCTTGGACTACTACAGTGCGCTCTACGTGGGGCTACCTTGGAAGGTGACCCGGAAACTGCAGTTAATCCAGAATGCGGCAGCTAGACTGGTGACTGGGAGTGGCCACCGAGACCACATAACACCGGTCTTGAAAGACCTACATCGGCTCCCAGTACGTTTCCGAGCACAATTCAAAGTGTTGGGGCTGACCTTTAAAGCCCTAAACGGCCTCAAAGGCCCAGTATACCTGAAGGAGCGTCTCCACCCCCATTGTTCAGCCCGGACACTGAGATCCAGCTCCGAGGGCCTTCTGGCGGTTCCCTCATTGTGAGAAGTGAAGTTACAGGGAACTAGACAGAGGGCCTTCTCGGTAGTGGCGCCCGCCCTGTGGAACGCCCTCCCACCAGATCTGAAGGAAATAAGCAGCTATCTTACCTTTAAAAGACATCTGAAGGCAGCCCTGTTTAGGGAAGTTTTTAATATTTAATGCTGTATTGTTTTTAACACTTGATTGGAAGCCGCCCACGGTGGCTGGGGAAACTCAGCCAGATGGGCGGGGTATAAATAATAAATTATTATTATTATTATTATTGCAAATGATGCCAGTTAAACAGGGGCGAGAGAAGGCAGGTGTGTGGGATGCTGGATGTTGTCTGATGTCGTGCAAAAGAACCTCGTGCGTCCAAAGTGGCAATTGGGATGCATATATTCAGTTGTATATATACATCCCAGTAGTGATGTATGGAAGTGAGAGCTGGACCATAAAGAAGGCTGATCGCCGAAGAATGGATGCTTTTGAATTCTGGTGCTGGAGGAGACTCTTGAGAGTCCCATTGACTGCAAGAAGATCAAACCTATCCATTCTGAAGGAAAACAGCCCTGAGTGCTCACTGGAAGGACAGATCGTGAAGCTGAGGCTCCAATACTTTGGCCACCTCATGAGAAGAGAAGACTCCCGTGAAAAGACCCTGATGTTGGGAAAGATTGAGGGCACAAGGAGAAGGGGACGACAGAGGACGAGATGGTTGGACATTGTTCTCGAAGCTACCAGCATGAGTTGGACCAAACTGCAGGAGGCAGTGGAAGACAGGAGTTCCTGGTGTGCTCTGGTCCATGGGGTCACGAAGAGTTGGACACGACTAAACGACAAAACAACAACATATTCAGTTGCCCTGATTTCATAGAACCATAGAGGTAGAAGGTCTTTCAAAGGTCATCTGAGCTAGCCTTCCCCAACCTGGTGGCCTCCAGATGTTTTGAACTACAACTCCCATTGGATGATGGGAGTTGTAGTCCAAAACAGCTGGAGAGTGCTGGATTAGAATCACAGAATGAACCCAGCTTCTTCTCCCTGCTGCAGCAAAAAGCACTCCTCTTTTTCCCAGCCCTGCCTCAATGCAGTAAGGGTTGCCAACTTTTTTAGCTGGTTCCGCTCCTGCGCCTTTACTGCCCAGCCCAAATTAAGCAACCGATTGATTGGTTGTATCTATACCCCGCCCTTCCTCCCCAAGGAGCCCAGGACAGCCAAAGGATCTGCAATCCAAAGACAAAAACAAAGCCCGAACAGTCTAAGACGGTTAAAACAATCCAATAACAATAAAACCATATCTAAAACCAGCTGTAGTCTCAGTTACAGTTAAAAATATTCGTTCATCCGAGTTGCCAGGAACTGTAATAATTCCCTCGCACATTGTCTCGACATTGGGAAAAGGCTTGCCTGCAAAATCCCTGTGCCTTGGGCTGCCTTTAAAGGCCTTTAAAGGTCTGAAAAGGTGGCAATCCTACTCACACATTGCTCAGCTTCCCAACCAACCGAGAAGGGCCAGGGCTGGCTCAATGCCATTTGCTGCCTGAGGCTGAGGATGGGAGGCTACCTCTTTCTTGTTCCATGCACAAAAGCTAGCCAGCCTGCCAGTGGAAGGCCAGGAAGCAGGGTGGCAGCAGAGCCCTTGTAGGCCTTCAGCCGCCCTCTGCTTCTCCCCAGCTGTCAGTTTTTGCCGCCTGAGGCAGTTGCCTCTGGCTAATGGCAGCGCCGGCCCCGAGGCCAGGCAAGTTGGCCAACTCCTCCTCCCTGTAGTTCAGAATATCAGAAAAACCTGCCGAATCAGGCCAGTGGCTCACCTAGTCATAGGAACATAGAATTGTAGAGTTGGAAGGGACCACATGGGTCATTTATTTTTTTAAACTTTTATTCATTTTTCTTTTTCATTCATTACATACATCTCATATTCATAACATTTACTATGCCTTCCTCCCTCTCTCCCCTCCTAGGCTTCCCCCTACTTCCGCTTCTGGTTTGTTTCTCCTTTCACCCTCTTTGCTACCTCCTAAAAGAAAAAAACTACTAATAACGTATTTATACAATAAAATTGAAATATACTCAGAGTCGAGAGTGGATTTCATGTTCTTTATTCAGCTCACAGTGGTGAGGAGGAATGGAAGTTCCCACAGAATGTCTTCTTTATATACATTATTTACACAATGGGCCCCACGTGATTGGCTAATTCCGGGATTCTCCTGTAGGCCAATCAGGTTGCGGATTCACTTCCACCTGGAGCTGGATTGGGTGGCTCCTGTGGACCAATCAGACTGCTGCATTCTGGACCCTATTGTTCTAGGACCAATCAGACTGCTGCATTCTGAATCCCATTGTACTAGGACCAATCAGACTGCTGCCTTTTGGATCCTATTCAACTCAGTACATAACACCAACATCAAACCTAGAAACATAAACATAACAATGAATACATCATACTATTTATCTTCCACACATTTTCTAATGCTAATAATGTGAACGCTTATTTAAATCCTGCCATCAAGTCTATAGACTTTCTTTGTTTCTGCAAGTATAATATAAATGGTTCCCATTCTTTTTCAAAGTCATCTAGACTCACCCCCTGCAATGCAGGATTTATTTATTTTTTTGCCCAAGGTGGGACTCGAACCCATGACCCTGAGATTAAGAGTCTTATGCTCTACCGACTGAACTATGCCAGATAGCCAGCATCCTGTTCTCGCAGTGGCCAACCACATGCCCATGGGAAACCCAAAAGCAGCACCCGAGCACAAGAGCCCTCTCCCCTCCAGGTCAACGGGTGTTTGGAAGCATCAATACCTCTGACTGTGGAGGCAGAGCCGGGGTATCGTGGTTAGTTGTGGCCATGGACCGCCTTATCCAGTGTGGTGTAGTGGTTAAGGGGACGTGGGTGGCGCTGTGGGTTAAACCACAGAGCCTAGGACTTGCCAATCAGAAGGTCAGCGGTTCGAATCCCTGCGACGGGGTGAGCTCCCATTGCTTGGTCCCTGCTCCTGCCAACCTAGCAGTTCGAAAGCACGTCAAAGTGCAACTATATAAAGAGGTACCACTCCGGCGGGAAGGTAAACGGCGTTTCCGTGCGCTGCTCTGGTTCGCCAGAAGCGGCTCAGTCATGCTGGCCACATGACCCAGAAGTTGTACGCCGGCTCCCTGGGCCAATAAAGCGAGATGAGCGCCGCAACCCCAGAGTCAGTCACGACTGGACCTAACGGTCAGGGGTCCCTTTACCTTTACCTATAGTGGTTAAGAGAGGTGGACTTGTAATCTGGTGAACCGGGTTCGCATCTCCGCTCCTCCACATGCAGCTGCTGGGTGACCTTGGGCCAGTCACACTTCTTTGAAGTCTCTCAGCCCCACTCACCTCACAGAGTGTTTGTTGTAGGGGAGGAAGGGAAAGGAGATTGTGAGCCGCTTTGAGACTCCTTCGGGTAGTGATAAAGTGGGATATCAAATCCAAACTCTTCTTCTTCTTCTCCTCATGAACTTGTCTGAGCCTCGTTTAAAGCCCTCCAAGTTGGCGGCCATCACTGCCCCCCGAGGGAGCAAGTTCCTCGTTGCAAATTCTTACGGTCTGGTTGTGGTTGAATGACTTAAGTTCCTGTTACTAGGCAGCCCTGGGGAGCCTGTAGCAAACTTTCCTCTGGATTGCATTAGAGCAGGTGGGTGGGTGGGGGCTCTGTCTATATAATAAGGAATGAGTCTCGCTGACGGGGAAAGCTCTCGTGCCTTTACTCAGCAGACGAGCCAGTTTGCAGTCATTGAAGGAAGGAGAGAGAGAGAGAGAGAGAGAGAGAGAGAGAGAGAAATAAGCGTGGGAGTCTGGTTGGAAAAAAAGAAAGCTATCAGCACCCATTGGGTGGGTAGGCCAAGCCCCACCCACCTGTCCCTCCCCAGTCCCCGCCTGCCTACTTGAGTCGAAAGCTACTCCCTTACGAGCTCCTGACAGCTCAGATGTTCACCCACGCAAAGCCGGCAGCAGCCAGACACACTTTCGACGCTGGGCGACTCATTCGGAAGCAAGCAGACTTCTTCGCACCCAGCCAGGGATGGGATGGGGCAGGCTCCGTCCTCAGATACACCAGCCCAGAGTTGTCACATCTGGGAACTCCTGAGCTGCAGAGGAAACAGAGCCCCGGACGCCTCTGCTGTGGCTTAGCCCCTCTTCCTGCTCTCCCACTTTTCTAGAGCTGGGAGGAACAGAACCCAGGACCATCGACTCAGTCCTTTTTGGAGGGGGGTTCCAGCTCCACCTGCTTTAGCCAGGGGGCATGACCCCGTCGTGACCCTAACCCCGGAAGGCCGGCTGGATTCTTGCTCCGTAATCGGCTGGACTCTGATGTCGTCTTTCACAGCTTCTGGGAACAGGACTCCGGGCTCGTCTGTCGCGACGAGGGGCTGCCCTCCAACGTGAATTAATTGGGGATTGAAAGCAGGAGGAGGAGAAGGATCTGAACCCACCATTTGCCTTCTTCCTTCTCGGTACTCTGAGGCCTCACATCTGAGAACAAGAAGTCCCAAAGCTTCCCCCTTTCTCCTGCTGGCCTTCCCCCTCTGAGACCTCCAGCCCCCTCTCCGTGCCAATGCAAGCGCTGCAAGCAAACCTGACCCCTCCGGAGGACTGCAGCAGCCTGACCCGACTGCAGAAAGATGGCAACCCCGGAATGAGCTCCTTCATGTTTGCGGCAGGGGTGGTGGGCAACATGGCCGCCCTGGCCATCTTGGGCTTCCACCGGAAGGAGCTGCGGACCAAGAGCTCGGCTTTCTGCATCCTGGTGACCGGCCTGGCCATCACGGACCTGCTGGGCACCTGCGTGGTCAGCCCCGTGGTCTTTGTGGCCTATTCGCGAAACGCCACCGTGCTGGGCCTGGCGGACGGAGGGCACTGGCTGTGCGACCTCTTTGCCTTCTCGATGATGTATTTTAGCCAAGCCGCCATGCTCATCCTCTGCACCATGGCGGTGGAACGGTGCCTAGCTATCTCCTACCCCTATTTCTACTCGCAGCACAACATCCGCCGGTGGGCCAAGCTCTCTCTGCCCGCCACCTATGCCTTCAGCGCCCTCTTCTGCGCTCTGCCCTTCCTGGGCGTTGGGAAGTACAAGCAGTACTGCCCGGGCACCTGGTGCTTTGTCCAGATGGACGTGGAGCTGACGGGGGGCGACCGCAGCAAAGCGGCCTTCTCACTGTCCTACGCCACGCTGATGGCGCTGCTGATCCTCGCCATCTTCGTCTGCAACGGCCTGGTCATCATCAGCCTCTGCCAGATGTACCGCAAGCAGAGGGCCCGGCGGCGAGGATCTATCAACGTGGCCCAGCAGCGGCGGCGCAAGAGCTGGCTCGGCCAAGGCGAGGAGGAGGTGGACCACCTCATCTTGCTGGCCCTCATGACGGTCATCTTCGTCATCTGTTCTTTGCCCCTCACGGTAAGTACTGCCACGGGGGTCACGGGGGGCAGGGAGGGATAACGGAGAGGGGCTGGTGAGGTGACGGAGGCCAGCTTGGCTCAATGGAGGCAAATGTCTTGGCTCAATGGTGGCAAATGTCTTGGCTCAATGGTGGCAAATGTCTTGGCTCAATCATGACAAATGTCTTGACTCAATGGAGGCAAATGTCTTGACTCAATGGAGGCAAATGTCTTGGCTCAATAATGGCAGATGTCTTGGCTCAATGGTGGCAGATGTCTTGGCTCAATGGTGGCAAATGTCTTGGCTCAATGGAGGCAAATGTCTTGGCTCAATGATGGCAAATGTCTTGGCTCAATAGTGGCAAATGTCTTGGCTTGGGGTGGTAAATGCCTTGGCTCAGTAATGATAAATGTCTTGGGGACAGGAAGTGACATGATAAGGGTCAGCCAGGTTCGCAACTGAGACAACACAGCTTTCATCCGAGGCGGTCAAGAATCGTGAGCCAATCGGCTCCATCTCAAGACTAGGGAGCCCCGCGACTGCTCACCTGTGAGCACAGTGGGAGAGTCAAGCATCTCATGACCTGCCACTGCCTGGGTCTTCCACATGGCCTCAGGTGGCTGTTGCAGGAGGATTTTCCACAGCCGTATCCTGCACTGGGTTTGGGCCAAAGGCCACAACAGGAAACGCTGTGCCACATTTTCATCTCCCGCCTGCGTGCGAGTGAGGAGGGTGCACAAGACTGTCCCAGGCTGGGAGCTTTCTGCAACCTGCTTTCTGTAGGGGAAGGACTGTGGCTCAGTGATTAGAGCAGCTGAAAGTCCCAGGTTCAAACCCCTCCCCCCCGGATTCCCCCAGGCAGGGCTGAGAAACGGGGGAGCCTCTGTTGGTCTGTGTAGACAATATTGAGCTAGATGGCTCAGTCTTTCTGTGCACGCAGTGACTTCACAGACACCCCAAGTGACAGAGGGTGTTGTGCAGAAGCTGTCAAAACCGTGGTGTGGTTGATGTGGTCTGATCAGCATGTCACAGACTTCCTCGCCCGAGAGATGCACACACACATGAGATTAGACAGTTACGTAGACGGGTCTGCAAATAGTTATTTAACCACGACAGATATCCAGGTCAGGGACGATGGGAGACCAAGCTTCTGATCTGAATTCCAGGGCCTCTGTTGCTGTGCAATAGCTGTCATAAACAAAAATAACATGACATGAAGGATCTCCGGGTTCAGGGGCAGTCTATCTCTGAATATCAGAGTCTAGAGAGGAACAGCAGAGGAAGCCCATTGTCCTTATGCCCTCCTTGGAAGCCACCTGGGCTCTGCTGGAAGCGAAGTTGGGGCTAGAGGCTTCTCTGATGCAGAAAGGTCAATCCAACAAACACACCATAGTGTCAAGCGTCCCTTATTTGGCGGGACAGTCCCTTATCCCAGCGCCATGTCCCGCTTCTGTCCCTTATTGATGATGTCCCTTAAATAAGCTACTGAAGGTAATGCAGCCCTTTCTATGTCCAGCTGTCCTTTGTCAACAACAAATTGTTGCTTTTTTTGTGTGTTGAATATATGCTATATGGTAATTTATGGACCTAATAGGTATCTAAAGCCATTTGCATGCAACAAAATATGTATTTTATCAAAGTAATTGTTGATCCGTTATTTTGGCTGCTGATCCCTTATTTTCGAGGCTGCTGGTCCCTTATTTTCAAATCTGTAAGTTGACAGCTATGACACACACACACAGAGAGAGAGAGAGAGAGAGAGAGAGAGCGAGCGAGCGCAGTTCCCTTGTTGGGTTTGGGGCACACGGTCGTTTAAGCGTGCCCTTTAGATCTGGTCCTGAAACACACACACCAGTGACATTCAGCCTGTATTTCTGCCTTGCTCCTAAAGCTGCTAAAAGGAAGTTTAACTGGGGGCAGGAAGAACTATAAAAGCCTTGGCAGTGCTGTGGCCAGTGGGAGTTGTAGTAAAAAACATCTGGAGGGCGCCCGGTGGGGGAAGGCTGATCTATAACATCACCATGACGGCAGATCTCTGTTCAGCCTGGGAGAAGACGAGACCAGTGTAGAGCTAGCAAGGCAAAATGTTGGGAGCAGAGGAGGAATGTGTGTGCCTTGAGATAAGAGGTTAGACCTCGCACCCGTTCCCTGCTTTATATTCCACATCTTTCCTGTTCCTTTTCTCCCTCCGTTTCCTGCTGTTTGCCCAATCGAAGAAACGCAACGGCAAAGAAAAGCGTAATGTTTCGGTTGTAAAAAAAGGGTTTGTTAAACAGCTGGAGCAAAACTGGCTCCATTTCGGAGCATTTCACAGCAGCTTAGGATCAGATGGCTTTCAAGACACAGAATTGTAGAGTTGAAAGGGACTCCTGAGGGTCATCTAGCCCAACCCGCAGCAATGCAGGAATCACAGCTAAAGAATCCCTGATGGTTAACCTCTGCTGGGGAAAAAAACCTCCAGGGAGGAAGAGCTCACCACCTTGTGAGCAGGGGCGGAGGAAGGGGGGTGCGGTGGGGCGGACCACCCCAGGTGTCACCACTGAGGGGGGTGACAAAATGCCAGGCGGGGCCTGCAGCGTGCTCGATCCATGCATCTCTCCTGGGAGTGACGCGGTGGCTTGGGGGTCCGCAGGCTCCGTGCTACCCCAAACGGTCCGCCTGCCGCCTCCCCCCAGCTGTAGGTCAGCTGAGTGGGAGGAGGCAGGCAGATTCCTCAGAGGCCCCACCCCTGCGGGCAGCTGGCCCCGCCCCTGGGCACGGGGCACAAATGCCATCCCAGATGCCCAATCAGCCTGCTCCGCCGCTGCTTGTGAGGTTTCTGGCAACCAAGCTGTTGTTAAAATAATAATAATAATAATAATAATAATAATAATAATAATAATAATTTATTATTTATACCCCGCCCATCTGGCTGAGTTTCCCCAGCCGCTCTGGGCGGCTCCCAATCAAATGTTAAAAGCAGTACAGCATTAAATATTTAAAACTTCCCTGAACAGGGCTGCCTTCAGATGTCTTTTAAAGATAGTATAGCTGCTTATTTCCTTCACATCTCAAGGGAGGGTGTTCTACAGGGTGGGTGCCACTACCGAGAAGGCCCTCTGTCTGGTTCCCTGTAACCTCACTTCTCGCAATGAGGGAACCGCCAGAAGGCCCTCGGTGCTGGACCTCAGTGTCCAGGCAGAACGATGGGGGTGGAGACGCTCCTTCAGGTATCCCGGACCGAGGCAGAAGAGCGTGAGCCAGCAAAGGAATTGGCTACCCTACACACAGTCAGACGCTCACACATAACCTGCCTGTTTTAATACAGAAAACTAGAACCAAGGCACCAATGATTCCTTCCTTTCCAGCTGGCAGGAGTTGAAGCCTATTGATGGCTCCTAGCTACGCTCTGCCTCCATGTTTCGAGGCAGAAATGCTTCTGGTTCCCGGTTGCTGGAAACCACAGGATGGAAGAGTTGGTCTTGTGTTCGAATCCTGCTCGCTGGTTCCCCACAGGCATCTGATTGGCCTCTGTGAGAACAGAATGCCGGATGCCATTGGCTGGATCCAGCAGGCTCTTCTTATTCCTGAAAGCAAACATCGACCTGCCATTGAGATTCCTACATTGCAAGGGGTTGGACTGGATGACCTTTGGGTTCCCTTCCAACTATTCTATTACCCTTCAGCCCCTTTCTTTCAGGAACGTTTGTCGCATACATTCTGCAGTTGCCAATTCCCTCCCCTTCGCCTTTCTTCTCTAACCCGTCCTCCTAGCAGTGTCCAGAACGGTCCCAGAAATTCTCCTGCTGCCTTTCCCAGTCCCCGGCTGCTGCCAGAGCAGAATCCGGCCTCAGACATGTGAATCAGTCCTGGAAAGGGCCCTGCCCTTCTTCCGCGTGAGGGACCTGGTGCATGTGTGGGCTAGAGGGAATAGTACGGCAGCGTGACTCTTCAGAAACTCTGGAGGGCCGGCAGCTGATGAGGCTGGATTCTGATGAGAAGGGAAGCTTTCATCATTTCCGTTCTTTGCAGATGGGGCAATGGCAAGGTTGCAAAAGAGGAGGGGGGTGAGGCCTCTTCCCCTGCTTTTAAGAGCATCCTGGTCTGCAAAGCTGGGAGAGAAGCGTTATCAACTGATAATTCCTACAGGGCATTAAGGCGCAGGAGCAAGCCTGGGTACGAATAATAAGAAGCTGGCAACTAATGAGACTTTTAATCTCAGGGCTGTGGGTTCGAGCCCCACTTTGGGCAAAAGATAATAATAATATAATAATAATTTATTATTTATACCCAGCCACTCTGGGCAACTTCCAACAGAATATTAAAATACAATAACCTATTAAACATTAATAGCTTCCCTAAGCAGGGGGTTGGACTACATAACCCCCCCCCCATGGTTCCTTTCAACTCTGCATTTCTACGACCATAAGGCACAGGGAGAATTATTCTCACCAATTATTATTCTTATCGATTACCATCTCACCCTTTCCCCAAGAGGCTCGGAGCAGTGTAAGCATTTCTCTCTTTCCCACCCGCAACAACAGGAATCCTGGGAACTGCAGTTTAACAGGACGTACACAGGTATAGGGACTCGGGTGGTCTGTGGGTTAAACCACAGAGCCTAGGACTTGCTGATCAGAAGGTCGGCGGTTCGAATCCCCGCGACGGGGTGAGCTCCTGCTCCTGCCAACCTAGCAGTTCGAAAGCACACCAGTGCAAGTAGATAAATAGGTACCGCTCTGGTGGGAAGGTAAACGGCGTTTCTGTGCGCTGCTCTGGTTCGCCAGAAGCGGCTTAGTCATGCAGGCCACATGACCCAGAAGCTGTACGCCGGCTCCCTCAGCCAATAAAGCGAGATGAGCACCGCAACCCCAGAGTCGGCCATGACTGGACCTAATGGTCAGGGATCCCTTTACCTTTACACAGGTATAAGATAAAAGTGGGTGGGGTTAGGCAGGTTGCATGGGGGAGTGACCAAGGCTCATTAAGTGTCGACTCCCAGCAAGATCCACGCCATTAATTGAAAGCAGGGTTTTCAAAACTTAGGTCTGCAGCCACCAGAGCCAACACTTTGGGGCCGAGGGGGCTTCACTTCCCTAATAAAATATTTGAGGGGGCTGCCCCCTCCAAGTTGATGAGCATTGCCATTCAAATGGCAGGTGCCCCATCATGTTACCAATTATGCAGGGCGAAGCTTACCTGCCCCCCCTCAATATTTTATTCCAGTGGGCACCCCTGTCTCCAGCTGTTTTCGGACTACAATTCCCATCATCCCTGACTGCTCATCCCGCTAGCTAGTGATGATGGGAGTTGTAGTTTGAAACCAGCTGGAGACCCAAGTTTGGGAAACCCTGATTTAAAGCATATGGCTTTAAACCATGGCTTCTGAGAACTCTAGTTTACCCTTTGGCAGGGCTGCAATTCCAGGCACATTTAAACTAGGATTCCCAGAATTCTTTTCGCGGGGAAACGTGACTGTTAAAGTGGTTTAAGCGTGCTTTAAATATATTCGGGGTGGATGTGACCCAAATATCAGGGCTGCCACATTGGCCATCGCTCAGAATGGGGTACACCATGGATGGAAGTGCCAGTCGCTCTCTCCGCCTTAGTCTGAGGTGCCCACTTGCCCTCAGCCTGCCCTGCCTGCCTGTCTTCTCAACGACAATCTTCCCAGGGGGTTCACCCTGCTTGCAGCTTCCTGCTCCTAATTCCAGTTGCTCAGCAGGCAGGAGGATGGGAACAAACCAGAATTAGCTGGCTCTGGCTCCCTCTACTGTTGACCTCCTTGCTTTACACCCTATCAGCTGTGATGGGGACTGGCCTCCCCAAGTAGGGCACATGGACACCCTAGCTTGGTTGGGCCGTGTCCCCCGGGTGAATTCCACACATGTGTGAGTGTCTGGAGGCAGTTGGAGGATGGATGGCAGCTAACAGATTGAAGTTGAATCCTGACAAGACAGAAGTACTGCTTTGGGGGGACAGGAGGCGGGTGGGTGTGGGGGACTCCCGGGTCCTAAATGGGGTAACTGTGCCCCTGAAGGACCAGGTGCGCAGCCTGGGAGTCATTTTGGACTCACAGCTGTACGTGGAGGCGCAGGTCAATTCTGTGTCCAAGGCAGCTGTCTCCCAGCTCCATCTGGTACGCAGGATGAGACCCTCCCTGCCCGCAGACTGTCTCGGCAGAGTGGTGCATGCTCTAGTTATCTCCCGCTTGGACTACTACAATGCGCTCTACGTGGGGCTACCTTTGAAGGTGACCCGGAAACTACAACTAATCCAGAATGCGGCAGCTAGACTGGTGACTGGGAGCGGCTGCTGGGACCATATAACACCAGTCTTGAAAGCCCTACACTGGCTCCCAGTATGTTTCCGAGCACAATTCAAAGTGTTGGTGCTGACCTTTAAAGCCCTAAACAGCCTCGGTCCGGTATACCTGAAGGAGTGTCTCCACCTCCATCATTCTGCCTGGACACTGAGGTCCAGCGCTGAGGGCCTTCTTGTGGTTCCCTCGCTGCAAGAAGCCAAGTTACAGGGAACCAGGCAGAGGGCCTTCTCGGTGGTGGCACCCGCCCTGTGGAATGCCCTCCCACCAGATGTCAAAGAGAAAAATAACTACCAAACTTTTAGAAGACATCTGAAGGCAGCCCTGTTTAGGGAAGCTTTTAATGTTTAATAGGTTATTGTACTTTAGTGTTTTGTTGGAAGCCGCCCAGAGTGGCTGGGGAAACCCAGCCAGATGGGCGGGGTATAAATAATAAATAATAAATTATTATTATTATGGGACTCTGAGGCATTTGCCCTATTTGCAAGACCCACTTACTTCCCCAAGCCCTGCTTCTCCCCTTCCCCACAGCTATGGGGCCTTCCTAGGACAAGCGTTGCCTCCGCCCCTCCAAAACCTTTGGGTTTGCCAGCCACGTCCAGGCCCAAACCAGCCATGCCAAAACCCGGGCTCAAAGCTCTTGCCCCGCCGCCTCGCAACCCGCCCACACTGCAGAAGTGAGCAAATTGGCACAACCGGAATTGGCATGGAAAACAGCCAGACTCCCTGAGGTGCTGTCGATTTCCTGCATCTCCTCAGCTGCCCCACATCCTGCCGCAGAGGCAGCCAAGTCGAGGCGAGTCTATCTGCAGTTTCCGCCTGAGGGTGCCAACCTCTTCCAGGATGCCTGGCCCGGGAGCTGAGAGAGCTCACGCAATTTGCCAATATTGTATCTTAGTTTTAGAAAAACTCCCAGCGAAAGAAACTTCCAGAGCCTCCAAGTGTCCCTATTTTCCAGCACAGAAGCTGTCCTGGTTTCTGATTTGTTCCTGGAATGCCCCGCTTTTCCTTAAGGTAAAGGTAAAGAGACCCCTGACCATTAGGTCCAGTCGTGGCCAACTCTGGGGTTGCGGTGCTCATCTTGCTTTATTGGCCGAGGGAGCCGGCGTACAGCTTCCGGGTCATGTGGCCAGCATGACTAAGCCGCTTCTGGCAAACCAGAGCAGCGCACGGAAACACCGTTTACCTTCCCACCAGAGCGGTACCTATTTATCTACTTGCACTTTGACGTGCTTTTGAACTGCTAGGTTGGCAGGAGCTGGGACTGAGCAACGGGAGCTCACCCCGTCACGGGGATTCGAACCACCGACCTTCTGATCGGCAAGTCCTAGGCTCTGTGGTTTAACCCACAGCGCCACCCGCGTCCCTTCGCTTTCCCTTAGGACACCCCTGTTTTCACTGGAGAAATGTTGGAGGATAGGGACCTTTATCTGATAACATTGGAGAGGTGCAGCAGGCCAGGATCCGTGGGCCTAGTGCTGCTTCAATCTTTGCCAAGCCTGTGGCCCTCCAGATGTGGATTGCAATTTCCAGCAGCCCCATCATCAAGCATCAGTTGAGCTATTGAGTTTTATGGTTTCAGGACCAGCAGGGGAGGGTGGGCAAGGAGAGATACTGTAAACTCTCAGACCACATCCTTCCCAGGGTCTGTTGCTTTTTTGTGACCTAGTTCCCTACCCTAAGACCTTAATCATTATTATTTACATTAGTGATTCCAGAAAATTTTGGGGCCACTGCTCTCTTGGCTCCATAAACTCATCCTCGGTGCCCCCTACTTTATAAAAAACATTCTTCAGAATAGAGATTTGCATGCCCCCACTAAGGGACGCGGGTGGTGCTGTGGGTTAAACCACAGAGCCTAGGGCTTACCAATCAGAAGGTCGGCGGTTCGAAGCTCCCGTTGCTCGGTCCCTCCGACGGGAAGGTAAATGGCGTTTCCGTGTGCTGCTCTGGTTCGCCAGAAGCGGCTTAGTCATGCTGGCCATATGACCCGGAAGCTGTACGCCGGCTCCCTCGGCCTGTAAAGCGAGATGAGCGCTGCAACCCCAGAGTCGGCCACGACTGGACCTAATGGTCAGGGGTCCCTTTACCTTACTAAGGAAGATAAGAATGCAATGAAATTTGAAAGGGCCGTTTGTTCAACATCCAATTAAAACCAGTTGAAGTAATTCAACAACTGATGACCTTGATCCAGTGATACCAGATTTCTGAAGCCTGATAGTCATTCACAGCTCAGCAGCTCCCCTCAGGTAACCCCACCCCAGGGAGTGATAAATCCCACTTCCACCGATTTACACTTATAGCCCACCTCTCGCTTCAAGGGGCTCAAGGCGACATACATGTTGTTGTTGTTTAGTCGTTTAGTCGCGTCCGACTCTTCGTGACCCCCTGGACCAGAGCACACCAGGCACTCCTGTCTTCCACTGCCTCCCCCAGTTTGGTCAGACTCATGTTTGTAGCTTCGAGAACACTGTCCAACCATCTCATCCTCTGTCGTCCCCTTCTTGTGCCCTCCATCTTTCCCAACATCAGGGTCTTTTCCAGGGAGTCTTCTCTTCTCATGGCCAAAGTCTTGGAGCCTCAGCCTCAGCTTCAGGATCTGTCCTTCCAGTGAGCACTCAGGGCTGATTTCCTTCAGAATGGAGAGGTCCAATCTTCTTGCAGTCCATGGGACTCTCAAGAGTCTCCTCCAGCACCAGAATTCAAAAGCATCAATTCTCCGCGACATACATAGAATCACTCAATTGTAGAGTTGGATGGGACTCTAAGGATCATCTAGTCCAACCCCCTGGAATACAGCGGGGCTCAAAACTGCAAGCTTGGCGTTAACGCCACCACAACATGCTTCTCCCCCTCTCTTGTTCCACCTCCACAAGTACCCCTGGGCCTGCTGGGAGTCGTAGTATCAAGGCGCACCAAGTTAGGGAAAGCTGAAAGAAAGGAGGAGGCTCTGGTATGCTACTCAGAACAGGGAGTTACATGTGTCACGAGACACAGCAAAAACCTCTGGCTTTCTCCTGGACCACATCCTGCGGCACCGAGAGAGCAGGACGGGTGTTGCAGCCAGCTTGCTGTTTGTGCCTCAGCTGGTGGAATTTCCAGAACACACCTTGCCTTTCTGAAATAAAGGGCGAGATCAGGGTGGGCAAGGAGAGGGGGGGGTGCCAGGCAGCTGAATTTGCTGGGGCTCCTCGGGCAACTGGTTGCGAATCCGGACCGAGGGCTGACCAAAGGTGGCGGCAACAGTTGGATCCTGTTATCTTTCCCCCTCGGGTGTGTCTCTGCAGGCCTCCTAACAAGGGTTAGGCAAACAGAGATACCTACAAGCAGGTGTGAAACACGCTTGCCAGTCCAATGAGCTGTGCTTTCTAAGCCACAGGTGCTAGGAGCAGAGGAAGCTGTCTTATTCCAAATTCTGGGGTCCTCAAGGAGCTTATAGATGCTCCCACTTGGCATCTGCCAGGACCCCTCCAATTACTTTTTTAAAAATTGATTTTTAAAGAGAGGGTCGTTTGCTTGGAGGTTGCACATTCAGAGGAGTGGGGTGGTGGTGGATGCTCAGCAGTATTGCTCCAGCTAGCTCAGTATTTACACTGTTTGGCAGGGACTCTCCAGGATTTCCGGCAGGAGACTTTCCTCAGTATTATTGCTTTGGCAAGCTCAGTGTTATTGCTCCAGTTAGCTCAGTGTTATTGCTCCAGCTAGCTCTGTATTATTGCTCCAGCTAGCTCCGTATTATTGCTCCAGCTAGCTCAGTATTATTGCTCCAGCTAGCTCAGTATTATTGCTCCAGCTAGCTCAGTATTATTGCTCCGGCTAGCTCAGTATTATTGCTTTGGCAAGCTCAGTATTATTGCTTTGGCAAGCTCAGTATTATTGCTCCGGCAAGCTCAGTATTATTGCTCCAGCTAGCTCAGTAATATTGCTCCAGTTAGCTCAGTGTTATTGCTTTGGCAAGCTCAGTATTATTGCTCCAGCTAGCTCCGTATTTACACTGTTTGGCAGGGACTCGCTAGGATTTCCAGCAAGAGTCTTTCAAAGACTGACCTAGAGATGCTGCGCACTGAACCTATGACCTTCTGTAGGCTAAGCAGATACCCTACCAATTGAACTGCAGCCTCCCTGCAACCTCTTTTCAATATCTCCCCATCTGAATCAGACCAGAGGCCCACGCAGAGGCTGCAGCCAGCCAGCCAGCCAGCCAGCCAGAAGATTCTGGAAGCTCACGGCCAATTTCAACAAACAAATAAAAAGTTTCCCGTATTATTATTTTTTTAAAAAACGTAAATGATATGGCATTACTTGCTAATTGACTTAAAGTGTTTTTATCTCCCATTCTCCACTTAAAGAAATGCTTAAGCCACTTTGCAAGCCAATAATCGTTAAAAAGGAAGATAAAATATAAAAGACGAAGACGAATAAGGAAAACAAAAAGCAATATGAGAGAGAGGGAGAGAGGAAACAGCAGATAAAACGTTTAACCTCCCGATTAAAGTTTATTTAGAATTAACAGCTGGGCAGGCTGAACGTCTGCTGGAAAATGAATCGCTTTGCGTGGCGTAGGAAAGTCATGGGGAAGTGGGTGCAATGGGCATCCCTTGGCAGGGAGGACCCAGCCAAATGCAGCTTAGATCGGCCTTTGCCAATCTAGCACCCTCCAGATCTTTTTGACTACAACTCCCAGCAGCTCCAGGAAGGATGCCCAGTGGCCAGGAAAGATGGGAGTTGTAGTTCAGCAACAACTGGAGGGCCAATGTTTTCCTGCACCTGGAGGACATGGAGGGGAGGCTCCTCGGAAGATTACAATGGACCGACAGAATCATTTGGGAGAAAACAGTTCACTGGTAGGTTCATATTCTGCGGCAGCATTATCTGGGAGCTTGCCTGTTCTCAGAAAAATGTCGTATTTTTCGCTCTATAAGACGCACCAGACCACAAGACGCACCTAGTTTTTGGAGGAGGAAAACAAGAAAAAAAATATTCTGAATCTCAGAAGCCAAGCAGCAATCCCTCTTGCTGTTCTGGCTTCTGGGATAGCTACACAGCCTGCATTCACTCCATAAGACGCACACACATTTCCCCTTACTTTTAAGGAGAGAAAAAGTGAGTCTTATAGAGCAAAAAATACGGTATGTCTCTTACCATATGCAGAGTGCAGTTTCTTCACTCCGTAACCTTTCCCCGCTTCTGTCCTCATTTCCTTCTGTAAACATTTCCCTGGAGAGACACGAGGCCCAGAGATGAAGTCGAAAGGCCGGTTTTCATTTGCAAAAGAGGAGGGGAAGCCGTGAATCACCCTCCCAACGCCTGATGGCTGAACTGCTTGTTGCAGGAAATGCTGCCTGCACTGCAATATTGTGCATAAGTGCACAAGGGCGATGCGGACCCAAGCAGGCAAGCCGCAAGCTGAGTTAAGTCAGAGGAAACGGAGAGTCGACCCAGCAGAGGAGATACTCTGAAGCCAAGGCGACGGCGACCTCGGGTCAGAGTTTCCAGGTCACGTGTGCACCTGACTTGCAGATCAGCAATCTTATTAAACCACCTACAGCAGTGTAAGAAGAGCCCTGCGGGATCAGGCCCATGGCTCATTTAGTCTGGCATCTCGGGGACCCCTGCAAGCCAGACTCCTGCATTTTCTTGTGAACTGGTATTCAAAAGTATCGCTGCCTCCAACTGCGTCGGCAGAACACTGCCATCATGCCATCGATAGCCCTCTCCTCCATGAACTTGTCCTCTCTTAAAGTCTTCCAAGTTGGTGGCTATCCCTGTGGCAGGGAGTTCCAAAGTTTAACCATGAAGAAGTCATTCCTTTTATCTGTCCTGTATTCTCCAACATTCAGCCTCATAGCAAATCCACAAATTCTGGTGTAACAAAGAGAGGGAGGAAAACCTTTGTCTCTCTACTTTCTCCCCACCACACACAATTTTATGAACATCTATCCTGTCTCCACTTCCTTGCCTTTTCACTAAACCGAAAGGTCCCAAACGCTGCAAAGATACAATGATACGATACGATACGATACTCTTTATTGTCATTCAAAAACCAACAAGCCTGCTATCCCAGCCTGGTTGGCCCCCTAAAAACGCTGATACCCCATAATTAAATACAATATGCTCCCCTAGAGACTACATTAAAGGTAAAGGTAAAGGGACCCCTGACCATTAGGTCCAGTCGTGGCCGACTCTGGGGTTGCGGCTTTATTGGCCGAGGGAGCCGGCATACAGCTTCCGGGTCATGTAGCCAGCATGACTAAGCTGCTTCTGGCGAACCAGAGCAGCGAACGGAAACGCCGTTTATCTTCCCGCCGGAGTGGTACCTATTTATCTACTTGCACTTTGATGTGCTTTCAAACTGCTAGGTTGGCAGCAGCAGGGACCGAGCAATGGGAGCTCACCCCGTCGCAGGGATTCGAACCGCCAACCTTCTGATCGGCAAGTCCTAGGCTCTGTAGTTTAACCCACAGCGCCACCCACGTCCCTTAGACTACCTTACACTGTGTTTAAAACCAAAATCGCATTTGGATAGAAACTGTTTCTCAGGCGGCTAGTCCTGGTCTTTATAACCCTGTACCTTCTTCCAGAAGGCAGAAGCTGAAAGAGATCATTTCCAGGGTGTGCACTATCCTGCGCTATCTCTGCAGCTTTCTTGTGACACCTGGAAGCATAGATTTGATCCGAGATGGGAAGAGTGCACCCAGTTATTCTCTCCGCAGTCTTTACAACCCTGGACAGCACTGTTTTTTCCCTGACCGTGCAGCTCCCAAACCACACACACAGACCATAAGTTAATACACTCTGAACAGTACAATGGTAAAATGCCATCAACACGTCTTTTGAGAGATTCTTTTTCCGGAGGATTCTCCTTCAGGTATACTGGGCCTTTGAGGCCGTTTAGGGCTTTAAAGGTCAGCCCCAACACTTTGAATTGTGCTTGGAAACATACTGGGAGCCAATGTAGGTCTTTCAAGACCGGTGTTATGTGGTCTTGGCAGCCGCTCCCAGTCACCAGTCTAGATTTGCTTTATTCAAATCAAACCACAGAAATCTCCAGGGTGATAGCAGGGGTGAGTGAAACAGTTCAAATTCTCAGGAGCCATAAAGACCCAGTTTTTAAAGAGCTATCCCCATATGGACGAAAGACTAAATCTAAAATTCCTGGTACTGGCCCAGAGGTTTTAAAGCAACCCGAATTTTCCTAGACTGCGACTGCTCTGGGGTCTAGACAATGCAGCTTAAAGCACAGGCAAAAGCTCCATCATGGTTGCCCTGGGCAATGTCTTCAGCTCTGGTGATTCTCTCTGGCTGTTCTGAGAGATTCTCCTTAGGAGTGTCTGACATTTTTCAAGCTTCTTTCACAAAAATAGATGAAGAGCTTTGCTGGAAGAGAGCTAAGGCCCGTCAAGTTCAATGGGCCGTTTCCCACATTAGCCAAGCAGATGTTTTGGGACATGAGCCCAGTTGCTTTCTCCTCCTTCCCTCCCCCAGCAACTTTTACTCAGCGGTAGGGATGGGCAGATCTGCCCATTTCTGTTTCCATTGCTCATCCTTCCACTCTTATACAGTGGTACCTCGCAAGACGAATGCCTCGCAAGACAAAAAACTCGCTAGACGAAAGGGTTTTTTGTTTTTTGAGCTGCTTCGCAAGACGATTTTCCCTATGGGCTTGCTTCGCAAGACGGAAACGTCTTGCAAGTTTGTTTCCTTTTTCTTAACACCGTTAATACAGTTGCGACTTGACTCGAGGAGCAACTCATAGAACGCGGTGTGGTAGCCTTTTTTGAGGTTTTTAAAGGCTTTGGTGATTTTTAAAGCTTTTCCAAAACTTTCCTGACACCGTGCTTCGCAATACGAAAAAAATCGCAAGACGACAAAACTCGCGGAACGAATTAATTGCATCTTGCGAGGCACCACTGTATTCAGTACATCTGCACATCAGCTTCCAAACATGGGATTCTTAAAAAAAAAAAAAAATCCTCATGAAAATTCACCAGTAGTTTAGTGAAATTTCCCACAATGTACATGCTTTTGAACGGAATTTGGCCCAAGATGCAAAATTCAGAGAAGTGCGAAATTTTGAAGGCTGGTGTTTATGGACTGGCTGCACGCAGATGAACGGTGAAAGGCACTAGCTGGGGATCCCTCAAGGGAATCCCCAGGGCAAGAAGGGTTGGGGAGTGGTGGTGGGGTGACGATGAGAGGGAGAAAAGGGAGCAGACTGGGTGAAGGAGGTGTCAGAAGCTGGAGAGGTAACAAGGTTTAGTGAGCAGGGAGAATCTGTGGCAGAGAACAGTTCAGAATCAGAGGCAGAAGCAGCAGGAGGGAGGCCAAGAGGCAGAGATGAGGCAGGCTATCTCTCTCTCCTGGTCTCCCAGGGCCAGAAGAGGTATGAAGAGGGTGGAGCAAAGATGGACAAGATGACAGAGTCTCAGATTGCTTGGGAAGGACTTGGGGGAGGAGGAGATTTAGGGAGCTGTGGGAAGGCAGGGACTCTCAGGCCTCACAACTGCCTCGCTGGGGCAAGATCTACCGGGAAGAGTTGCTGGGCTCACTAGGCCTGGCCTCCTGAGCTGTTTGGTTTCTTCAAATAAAAAGTTAACTTCACTGAAGTCGTGTGAGTTGTTGCTGACCTGTTCCTGGCACCTGCTCTTGTCAGGTTCTGCACTTCGGTTCACATAGCATTTTGGAAAGTGCGAATCACATGGGCTCACCTTTAAATGCAAACTTTATTGAATTGCTCCCCAACCCTCTTCAAAGCCATCCTGTCTCCGATCCAGGAGGTTACATAGAGCCGTCATGACTAGGGAGGGGTGAATCGGTCCAATCTGGTTTCTCTCTGTTTCTTATTAAATTTGGTTTTCCACATTTCTGCAGCAATGTGCAAATTTTCTCTTAAGAAAGCACCCTCCTTTCAGCTCTCGAACATGTTCATGTGAATTCCTCCTAATGCCATTTTGTCTGCAGATTTAACTTTTTAACATTTTTGCCCAAGATTTCTCCTAACCAGAATACCTTTTCATTCCTGGTCTGTGGTGAGATTTTCATGGTGCTGAATTTTGTACCCAAGACACAGAACTTTGGCTCTATATAAGGCAGTCTCATCTGACAACAGCCACAAAATGTTCTACAATTCTTATTTTCTCCCTCAAAACCTTGGTGTAGAATCTACACTACAGGTCAGGCAATCTCAAACTTTCTACCCACAGGATAGAGGCTGAGGTCCACCAGTCGAAAAATGGCGGTGCAGGGGCAGAGTGAGGACAGAGTTTGGCAGAACCCAATATCAATTGCTGACATTGTTTTCTACTGATATCTGACCCATCTTTGGAAACCACCACGCTCTTTCCCACAGCATTTCCCCTGTGGCAAGGAGTTCCGCAGCTCAGCTTTCCTTGAAACATGTGTAGGCATTTGCTCCGGGGGTGTAATGACTCAGCCTCCCCGTTTTAGGCAATATTTGCTGATCCAGAGATTCTAAACAGAGATGGCTTTTTATTTGATAGATTTCCCTTTCCACCCCCACAGGGCTCTCAAAGTCTTTTGAAACAATTCCTCTCCTTTCCTGCTTTCACGTTCGATTTGTACCCCATTCTCCACTCCCCAAACTGCCACTTCCTTTGACCCCTCGGTCATTTCTTCCTCCTGCGACAGCTTCCCTCTCTTATCTTCTCCCTTTTTGATCTTAGGTGGTTAGTTTGTTTATTCTTCCTCTTCCTAATACAGTGGTATCTCGGGATAAGTACTAAATTTGTTCCGGAGGTCCGTTCTTAACCTGAAACTGTTCTTAACCTGAAGCACCACTTTAGCTAATGGGGCCTCCTGCTGCCGCCGCGCCGCCAGAGCACGATTTCTGTTCTCATCCTGAAGCAAAGTTCTTAACTTGAAGCACTATTTCTGGGTTAGAGGAGTCTGTAACCTGAAGCGTATGTAACCTGAAGCGTATGTAACCCGAGGTACCACTGTATATCCATCTTTTATCTCCCGTCCTAATTCCCTTCAACGCCTCCCCTGGCCCGTTCTCATTAGAAGGAGAGAGATCTACCTTCCCCTTGAGTGTCTCTGTCTCCCAGCCACCTTTACTCAGCGTGCAAACCACCTTTGGGAGTTGGTGGTACTGGTCAAATGCAGAGGCTGTTGTGGTGAAATGACAACGAGCGGTTTGAGAGAAGAGGGAGCAAACAGGGAGGAGGAGGCGTGGGAAGTGGAAGAAGTAACTGGGTTCATTGAGTGGGAAGAGGCTGTGGCAATGTGCTCCACGTGGGGCTACCTTTGAATGTGACCCGGAAACTACAACTGATCCAGAATGCGGCAGCTAGACTGGTGACTGGGGGCGGCCGCCGAGACCACATAACACCAGTCCTGAGAGACCTGCATTGGCTCCCAGTACGTTTCTGAGCACAATTCAAAGTGTTGGTGCTGACCTTGAAAGCCCTAAAAGGACTCGGCCCAGTATATCTGAAGGAGCATCTCCACCTCCATCGTTCTGCCCGGACACTGAGGTCCAGCGCCGAGGGCCTTCTGGTGGTTCCCTCACTGTGAGAAGCCAAGTTACAGGGAACCAGGCAGAGGGCTTTCTTGGTAGTAGTAGTAGTAGTAGTAGTAGTAGTAGTAATAATAATAATAATAATAATAATAATAATAATATTTGTACTCTGCCCATCTGTCTGGGTTTCCCCAGCCACTCTGGGCGGCTTCCAACAAAGATTAATGTCACACATTAAAAACTTCCCTAAGCAGGGCTGCCTTCAGATGTCTTCTAAAAGTCAGGTAGTTGTTTTTCTCTTTGTCATCTGATGGGAGGGCGTTCCACAGGGCGGGCGCCACTACCGAAAAGGCCCTCTGCCTGGTTCCCTGTAGCTTTGCTTCTTGCAATGAGGGAACCGCTAGAAGGCCCTCGGAGCTGGACCTCAGCATCCAGGCAGAACGATGGAGGTGGAGAGGCTGCTTCTGGTCTACTTGGCCGAGGCACCTGCCCTGTGGAACACCCTCCCATCAGATGTCAAGGAAATAAACAACTATCTGACATTTAGAAGACATCTGAAGGCAGCCCTGTTTAGCGAAGTTTTTAATGACTGATGTTTTAATGTCTTTTTAATCTTTTGTAGGAGACCGCCTAGAGTGGCCCGGGAAACCCAGCCAGATGGGCGGGGTATAACAAATAAATTGTTATTATTATAAAGAATCAGCTCAGAATCTTTCTGCAGTAATAGTAGTAGTAGTAGTAGTTTTCTTTCTTTCTTTCTTTCTTTCTTTCTTTCTTTCTTTCTTTCTGTCTGTCTGTCTGTCTGTCTTTTCCTTCCTTCCTTCCTTCCTTTCCCCCTGACAGGACTTAAGGTGGCTTACAGACAAAAATAGGAACCATTCAAAACATTATTTTAGTAGTAATTTAATTTATACCCACCTTTCCTTTCCTAGATGCCCAGGGCAGCAGTCTTGGAACAAGTGATGCAACAGCAAAGCAACCACATTTTTTTGTTACAGGTAGGGACACAGGTGGCGCTGTGGTCTAAACCACAGAGCCTAGGGCTTGCTGATCAGGTCAGCGGTTCGAATCCCCGCAGTGGGGTGAGCTCCCGTTGCTATGTCCCTGCTCCTGCCAACCTAGCAGTTTCAAAGTACAAAATGCAAGTAGATAAACAGGTATCGCTACGGCGGGAAGGTAAACGGCATTTCCACCGTTCGCCAGAAGCAGCTTAGTCATGCTGGCCACATGACCCGGAAGCTGTATGCTGGCTCCCTCGGCCAATAAAACAAGATGAGCGCCGCAACCCCAGAGTCGTTTGTGACAGGACCTAATGGTCAGGGGTCCCTTTACCTTTACGGTAGCCGTGTTGGTGTGCCGTAGTTGAAAGAAAATAAAAAAATTCCTTCCAGTAGCACCTCAATAACAAACTTAGTTGCTCTCGAAGGAATTTTTTTATTACATTTTTGTGTGTGTTAATACCACTGAGCATGTACAGAGTGTCTCCCCCCCTCCTGCTGGCACACACACACACACAGCTGAGCAATCTATTTGGGATTAAAGAGAAGGACACCCCGGGTTCTGTTTACCAGGCGGGGTTAATGCACCCCCCACTTTGGTCTTTAGAATTTAAAACCAATACAAATCCAACTCCTTTGTTAGCCTTGCTGGGAATAATAGATGAATCAACAATTATCTCACTGGGAGACGCTGACATTTTTGCTGGTAGCTGCTCATTTAGAAATTGCTAAATGTTGGCCTGTCGACATGTTGGCTCTCAGATGCCAGGTTAGCACGGTCAGAAGCAAGTTGAGTCCTTTACCCTTTTATAATACCAGGCATTCATTTATCTCCTATATGAGACGATCAATGGAGACAACATCTCTCCAGAACCACAGAAATATCTGGGGAGACTTATTGGCCGAGAGACTTTTGTATGCATCGTAAACGTTAGACTGCTGTTACGCATCTTTCCGAGAAAGGGCAGGCGAGCTGCGACTTTCGTTGCCTGCTGTATACTACATGTGAAATAGCCATAAAATGTATATATATATATACTGAAAACAGAACAGCTTGCATCCATCGCCCATAAAATGCCAGGCAATTCTAACCACCCACGGTGGGGTATCCGGCCCAAATCGGGGTTGTTGAAGGATTGTTTTGCATTACTGTGGCAACAAGAAAGGGGCAAGGCAGGGCTTTGTTGAAACAGCTGAGGATGCCAACCGGGCGTGGACAGAGGGTTGTGCAACAGGCGGGCGATAAGGAGCCCGGGCTGAAAGGCCTGCAGGCACCGCCGCACACAAGGACCCTGGCTCAAGATGCCAGTGGCGGTTGCAGAGTTTGCCAGTGCCACGTGGCAGAATACAAAGAAGGGTGCTCTCTGGGCACCACAGTTCAAGAAGGACACTGACAAACTGGAACGTGTCCAGAGGAGGGCAACCAAAATGGTCAAAGGCCTGGAAACGATGCCTTAGGAGGAACGGCTAAGGGAGCTGGGCATGTTTAGCCTGGAGAAGAGGAGGTTGAGGGGTGATATGATAGCCATGTTCAAATATATAAAAGGATGTCACATAGAGGAGGGAGAAAGGTTGTTTTCTGCTGCTCCAGAGAAGCGGACACGGAGCAATGGATCCAAACTACAAGAAAGAAGATTCCACCTAAACATTAGGAAGAACTTCCTGACAGTAAGAGCTGTTCGACAGTGGAATTTGCTGCCAAGGAGTGTGGTGGAGTCTCCTTCTTGGGAGGTCTTTAAGCAGAGGCTTGACAACCATATGTCAGGAGTGCTCTGATGGTGTTTCCTGCTTGGCAGGGGGTTGGACTCGATGGCCCTTGTGGTCTCTTCCAACTCTATGATTCTATGATTCTATGCCATCAGCCTGACAAAGGACAGGCTGTGCTTGCAGGGGCTGCTGTTCCTTGAGGAGACCTTGCAGGGGGGCATCCCTGCAGCAGGGCCAAATTTCAGCAGCAATAGGACCACACGTCCTGCTTTCAGTGCCACATCTGGCGTGCCAAGCGACGGCAAGGGCAAGGAGGTCTCTGGGTGTGTTGCAAAGAGCCCGTCTCCGCTTGCCGATGAACCGCCGCAGCTGCTCTCACCACCAATCCAGGGCGGTTAAGGAGCAAAGTGTCGTGGGTTCAGAACCGAGGCGGTGCTGCATGGTATCAGATGGAGGCTTGCGCCTGCTTCATTTCTGCACATCGAGCATAAGTGCGGTTTCAGGTTTCAGCAGGGCAGAAAGCAGCTTTTTGACACGGCAAGGAGAGGCCAAGATTGAAAGTGCTTCCCTTTTCTAGATTCAGATGATAACTTAGGGGGAAAGGCAATTCTTCAGAATGCTTTGTGGTTACTTCACCTTATTTCTTTCGCGTGCGTTTAGCAGTCAGAGATACTGTGGGCTTTTCCACAAGTCGTCTGAGGGACACAGAGACCTCGGGACAAGAGCTGACAGAGGAGGCACATCTCTCCACTTCCTGGGTGGAGTTTAATAATAATAATAATAATAATAATAATAATAATAATAATAATTTTTATTTATACCCTGCCCTCCCCGGCCAAGGCCGGGCTCAGGGCAGCTAACAAGCAATAATTAAAACAAATTGAATGAATACAACTTAAAAACATTAAAATACAACATTAAAATATTGAAACCTCATCGCAGGAGGAGAAAGGAAAAAGAAAAAAGAAAGAGGGGGAGGGAATCAAATTGGCTCTAAGCCAAAGGCCAGGTGGAACAACTCTGTCTTACAGGCCCTGCGGAAAGAAATCAGATCCTGCAGGGCCCTGGTCTCATGAGGCCAGTGTTGAAAAGGCCCTGGCTCTGGTTGAGGCTAATCTAACTTCCTTAGGGCCTGGGACCACTAGGGTGTTGCTATTTATGGACCTTGAGGTCCTCCGTGGGGCATACCGGGAGAGGCGGTCCTGTAGGTACGAGGGTCCTAGGCCGTGAAGGGCTTTAAAGGTCAAGACCAGCACCTTAAATCTGACCCTGTACTCCACCGGGAGCCAGTGCAGCTGGAAAAGCACTGGCTGAATATGCTCCCATGGCAGGGACCCTGTGAGGAGCCTCACTGCGGCATTCTGCACCTGCTGGAGTTTGTGGGTCAGCTTCAAGGACAGCCCCGCGTAGAGCGAATTACAGTAGTCAAGCCTGGAGGTGACCGTCGCATGGATCACTTAGAAAGCACCTCAAGGAGAATTAGTCCAGTTCAGACAGGGTTATCGAAGGCTACTAGTCACGATGGCTCGGCTCTGCCTCCAGCAAGATTTCCTTATGTTCTTCTGAGTTTGGCGCAGTTCTGAATTACTTGGCTACATTGGCTGTTTTCACTAGTGCGTTTTAAATTTGGATTTCTAAAATACGTTCAAACTGTCCCTATTTTGAGCTACCTGTCCCAGATTAAAACGCTGCCTGTAATTTGTTCCTGTTTTGCTTGAGAAAGAGAGGGGAATACATTTTTTACAGGATGCTTTGCTTGTAGCCCTCCCTTTCCCCCAGAGTTGAAAGGATCTCATTTTGACCCCCTCCACTGGCTCCAAAAGCGTTTCGACCTTAGTGCACCTGCAAACGCAGGTGAGCACATGGTCACTAAGGCACCACAAAGCTGCAACTGAAGTGCTATCATTTTTCTAAGTGTGATTTTCATAGAATTATAGAATTGCAGATTTGGAAGGGATGCAAACCCCGGCATTGCAGGAATTGGAATCTCAGCTGATGTGGAGAACTGAACTTTAGACTGGGAAAACCAGAAATAGAGAGAAATCAAAATTAATAGATTCACGCAACTCTACTAGAGCATTCAGCAGGAGGGGGGTGAGAGAGAGAGAGAGAGAGAGAGAGAGAGAGAGAGAGAGAGAGAGACCATCCCTTAACATAAAAGAGTGTGCATTTTCTAAATACACAAGATAACGGTCCCTATTTCTATATCTGAAATATCTGAGGATAGTATATACCGTATTTTTCGCTCTATAAGATGCACCAGACCACAAGACGCACCTAGTTTTTGAAGGAGGAAAACAAGAAAAAAAATATTCTGAATCTCAGAAGCCAGAATAGCAAGAGGGATCGCTGTGCAGTGAAAGCAGCAATCCCTCTTGCTCTTCTGGCTTCTGGGACAGCTGCACAGCCTGCATTCGCTCCATAAGACGCACACACATTTCCCCTTACTTTTTAGGAGGGGAAAAGTGAGTCTTATAAAGCAAAAAAATACGGTATTTGTTTTGATGCTTTTGACTGCTGAAGCCACCCTCAGGAATAAGTCGTAAGATGCAGCTCATCTGTTCAAAAAACAAAATACACAAACCCAAAGCCCTGTAGAAATGAGAAACGAGGAACAAGAAACCGAAAATCAGTTAGGCAGCAAGCAGAACAGACCAGGAAAAAGCCCAGACAGCATCCTCTGGGTGTCTTTCCCCAAAGGATTCAGGGAAATGAGGTCGTGTCTACCTGTCGTTCACATATTGGTCAGAGAGGCAGAATGGAGGGACATTCATCTGCTACCTTCTCATTCCACAACTGATTTTGTTCTGGAAGGAATTACTGGCAAGAGGGTGGATGTCCCCGGGTGAATTGAGTGCTGCGTCTACCAGCTACAGAACCATGCTTTAAGCCAGACTTTGCCAGGTGTTTTGGACTACAATTCCCATCAGCCCCAGACAGCACAGCTGCCACGGTGTGTTTACACAATAGTTTTGCCCACAGATTTGCCAGGCGCTATTTGAGCACTGGGGACGCGGGTGGCACTGTGGTTTAAACCACTGTGCGCTTGGGCTTGCCAATCAGAAGGTCAGCGGTTCAAGGCCCCGCGACGGGGTGAGCTCCCGTCGCTCGGTCCCTGCTCCTGCCAACCTAGCAGTTCGAAAGCAGGTCAAAGCTCAAGTAGATAAACAGGTACCGCTCTGGAGGGAAGGTAAACGGCGTTTCCGTGCGCTGCTCTGGCTTCACCAGAAGCGGCTTAGTTATGCTGGCCACATGACCTGGAAAATCTGTCTGTGGAAGCGGACAAACGCTGGCTCCCTCGGCCTGTAAAGTGAGATGAGCGCCGCAACCCCAGAGTCGTTCACGACTGGACTTAAATGTCCCTTTATTTGAGCACTAAAGCATGTGGTTTGTGCCATGTGCAGATCAGGTGGGCAAAGATGGCCAGAAGGCAAAGATGGCCAGCCACCTGGATGGCTTAAAAGCGACAAATTCTTTTTCTTCTTTTTAAAAAATTTATTCATTTTCCTTTTTCATTCATTACATGCATCTCATATCCATAACATTTACTATACATTCCTTCCTCCCTCCCCTTCTGGACTTCCCCCAACTTCCGTTTCTGGTTTGTTTCTCCTTTCACCCACTTTGCTACTTCCTAAAAGAAAATAATACTAGTAACATATTTATACAACAACGTCAAAACCTTAAAACATAAAAACCTAAAAATAAAACACACCATCCTATTTCTCTATCTTCCACAAATTTTCTAATGCTAATAACGTGAATGTTTATTTAAATCCTGCCATCAAGTCTATCGACTTTCTTTGTTTCTGCAAATATAAATGGTTCCCTTTCTTTTTCAAAGTCACTGTTGTCTTTTTCTCTTTGTCTGTCTGTCATTTTTGCCAGTTCTGCATAGTTCATCAGCTTCTCTTGCCATTGTTCTTTAGTTGGTATTTCTCCAGTCTTCCAGTTTTCTGCAATCATAATTCCATTGTTGTTGTTGTTTAGTCGTTTAGTCGTGTCCAACTCTTCATGACCCCCTGGACCAGAGCATGCCAGGCCCTCCTGTCTTCCACTGCCTCCCGCAGTTTGGTCAAACTCATGCTGGTAGCTTCGAGAACACTGTCCAACCATCTCGTCCTCTGTCGTCCCCTTCTCCTTGGGCCCTCCATCTTTCCCAACATCAGGGTCTTTTCCAGGGAGTCTTCCAGTGAGGGAACCACCAGAAGGCCCTCGGACGATGGGGGTGGAGACGCTCCTTCAGATATACTGGACCTTAAGATTTTTAAGACATGCTATTTTCGTAAAATACTATTGATTGGTGAATTGATGGATTGGTGAAATGTAGCTGATTAATTCCCCCAATCAGTTGAAATGCATGCAGCAGAGGTGGGGACAATTTTTCCTCTAGTTTGGAGGTCTCGATTGGCTACTGACTCTTCTGCCTGCCACTGTGACTTTCCCTTTCCCTGCAGTTGGATGTGCAGATGTTACCAATGGTCTGGTTTACCTCTGCCCCCTCAAACGCTTCCCCTGTTGATTTTCTGCCCCATCGGGCTTCTAGCAGGAGAGCAGGCCAGGATAAGCGAATTTCTGCTCATTTAGCACCTGTAGACCTGTAGACCTGAGGGGGCAGCCTTTCCTGTAATCAACTTTACTCTTTCTGGGGTGAATCCATCAGGTTAAAAAGAAGCGCTAGTTGGCAGAATAAGTTACAAGAATATGTGGAAATGGCGCAAATGACCAACAGCCTAAGGGGCAGTTCAAGACAATAATTTGCACAAAAATGGGATAAATACAAGAGATATGTACAAAAATATACCAATGATTTTTCGTCTATGATGGCAGCATTTGAATGACCTTGGATAAAGAAATATAGGAGAAATAAGATTAACGGCACAAATTCTTGTAAGACTGTATTAGAGAATATATAAAGGATAGATTAATAATGGTAGGTACATTGACTATTAGAATAAAAGCATACAACGGGAATTGACAAGAAGTCCAAAGTTTTTATGATATTTTTTGTTAATGCGTTGTTGTTTAGTCATGTCCGACTCTTTGTGACCCCCTGGACCAGAGCACTCCAGGCACTCCTGTCTTCCACTGCCTCCCGCAGTTTGGTCAAACTCACGCTGGTAGCTTCGAGAACACTGTCCAACCATCTCATCCTCTGTCGTCCCCTTCTCCTTGTGCCCTCCATCTTTCCCAGCATCAGGGTCTTTTCCAGGGAGTCTTCTCTTCTCATGAGGTGGCCAAAGTATTGGAGCCTCAGCTTCAGGATCTGTCCTTCCAGTGAGCACTCAGGGCTGATTTCCTTCAGAATGGAGAGGTTTGATCTTCTTGCAGTCCATGGGACTCTCAAGAGTCTCCTCCAGCACCATAATTCAAAAGCATCCATTCTTCGGCGATCAGCCTTCTTTATGGTCCAGCTCTCACTTCCATACATCACTACTGGGAAAACCATAGCTTTTACTATACAGACCTTTGTTGCAAGGTGATGTCTCTACTTTTTAAGATGCTGTCTAGGTTTGTCATTGCTTTGTCATTGCTTTTCTCCCAAGAAGCTCAAGAAGATTTTTTGTTAATAACTTTTGTTAAACATCTTTGTTAATAACCGCATAAAAATTAGCATAAACACAGCTGAAGCTTAAGGTTTATAACTATGTAAGAAAAGACAAGTATATGTGTGTGTGTGTGTGTGTGTGTGTGTATGATTGAAATCTCACTTTACGAGATGTACTATATATATGTAATGTATTGTAAGACTATTAATAAAGCTTGTTACATTGCAAAAATACCTGAACAACCGATTTACAATATTAAGTCTGTATCTGGGAGTGTCCACGGTGGGGGGTGGGGTGGAGGGTGTTTTTGTTTTTTTGCAGGTGGATGAGGAGAGCAGATCTCTCTTTGTGCTTCAGTTCACCCCCAACCTTCCTGCATATAATATAATAAGTTAAATCCAGACCCCAGAGAGGTAGCTTAATGATTCTTGCACCCTGGGATGTTATCACGCAGGAAACCCCTGGCTCCTTCCGCTGCCACAACCGTAATCAAACCAGAAATAATCCCGCCGTGCTTTTATGACGAGGGGGGTTAATGAGATTGCTAGGTAATTGCAGGCCTCGTCATAATTGGATGGCACAAATTAAGGCTGATGACTCCAAGCTTTGGAGCAAAGCGAGGCCTCAGTGTCACCTCTGAGGCTGATGCTCCAGGAGATACAATATTGTATACTTAGTCAAATGACACTCTGATCCATTCAACAGTGTTTGAATTGGGATATGGGTTTGTCAGGAGGGAAACATAAAATAGACAGCAAGATTTGCAGCCAGGACCAGAGATTCGGCCAACTTCCTTTCTAAACAAAGCATCTCAGAGTTGCTGTTACACATGCCATTTTATATTTTCAACTCACATCAATCAAAACAGATATCATGTTCATTTCCCTTTCCTCCCACCCATTTATTTTCAAATTGTAAGGGCTTCCCTCAGTAGGACTGGGGTTTATTGTTCCCCTTAGGTATGTCTACACTACCAATTTAAACCATTTTGTATGTTTAAATGGGTATGTCTGACCCATTTAAACTGTACATACTCAACTGAAGAACTTTCAAAACTGAAGTCCTGTGAAGGGGTTACAGATCTCAAAGAGCCCTCACAAAATTACGATTTTGGTCAGGGAGGGGGAGCTGCGACAGTGATAAATCTCGTTTACATTGGTTTCAAGCTAATTTAAATTTATCGGAAGATACACTCCCTTATCTACTGTGGATAAGATAAAAACCCATGCATTTCAAGTGGCAATTGGTCTGATCCAAGGTCCACGTTTCTGAAAGCACCATGAACAAAGGCGACTGGATCTGTTCCAGCAGCAGTTGCATCTTCACAGTCATGATGCAAGCTAGTCAGCGGAACTGGGATTTTAAATTATAAATTATTGGATGGATATACAGCTTTTCTCCCAAGTCTCCCGCCCTCCCTGAGGCAGTGTACTGTTTTGTTGTTGTTGTTGTTGTTTAGTCGTTTAGTCGTGTCCGACCCTTCGCGACCCCCTGGACCAGAGCACGCCAGGCACTCCTGTCTTCCACTGCCTCTCGCAGTTTGGTCAAACTCATGTTGGTAGCTTCGAGAACACTGTCCAACCATCTCGTCCTCTGTCATCCCCTTCTCCTTGTGCCCTCCATCTTTCCCAGCATCAGGGTCTTTTCCAGAGTCTTCTCTTCTCATGAGGTGGCCAAAGTCTTGGAGCCTCAGCTTCAGGATCTGTCCTTCCAGTGAGCACTCAGGGCTGATTTCCTTCAGAATGGAGAGGTTTGATCTTCTTGCAGTCCATGGGACTCTCAAGAGTCTCCTCCAGCACCATAATTCAAAAGCATCAATTCTTTGGCGATCAGCCTTCTTTATGGTCCAGCTCTCACTTCCATACATCACTAGTGTACAGTTTTAATTCTTCCAAATTCTCTCCCAATTCCCTGCTAGATGTCAGATTTCATGTGGGACTCTGTTTGTGCCTGTGTGTGTGAGAGAGAAACTGTAGAATTCAAACAGCCCTCCTTATATCTTCTTATCTCTTTGGCAATCGTTCGTGGCCGAGTAAGATTGCCTTCCATAAACACGGTTTTAACAATGAGTCCGTAAGTGAATGTGAAGGCCAATTTTTTCTTAGTGGGACAGTTTCTATCTTTTTGCCAGCTCTGAAAGGCCTTCCTTTTCTTGTTAATCATGTGTTCAATCTCACTGTCATTCTCATCAAACCAGTCCTGATGTTTCTTGGTTTGGTATCCAATAGTTTGTTCACAGGCTGCAATAATGGATGTTTTTAGCTTGGTCCAGTGTTCCTCGATGTTATCAGGGAATTCTGAAAGCAGATGGTTCTTAAGAGTCGTTTGGAAGCAATCTCGCTTAATGGGATCTTGAAGGGCTTGAGTGTTCATTTTGCGCCTTGGTTTCCTTCCTTGATTGGGACGCTGGTGGCGCTGTGGGTTAAACCACAGAGCCTAGGACTTGCCGATCAGAAGGTCGGTGGTTTGAATCCCCGCGACAGGGTGAGCTCCCGTTGCTCGGTCCCTGCTCTTGCCAACCTAGCAGTTCGAAAGCACGTCAAAGTGCAAGTAGATAAATAGGTACTGCTCCGGCGGGAAGGTAAATGGCGTTTCTGTGCGCTGCTCTGGTTCGCCAGAAGTGGCTTAGTCATGCTGGCCACATGACCCGGAAGCTGTACGCCGGCTCCCTCAGCCAGTAAAGCAAGATGAGCGCCACAACCCCAGAGTCAGTCACAACTGGACCTAATGGTCAGTGGTCCCTTTACCTTTCCTTCCTTGAAGCCTGTGTTGAGGTATAATCTTGATCGCCATCGTGGAGTGTATTAGTATCGATATTGCAGCGCTCCAAGAGACTCGAAGAGCAGGCGAGGGACAACTGAAGGAATAAAAAGGAGGCTACACGTTCTTCTGGAAAGGTCCATCTGAACAAGAACATCCTTTCTTTTTCATGCAAGGTGAGACGTCGGTACGACTTTTGGTAACTTAAGTTGACAGAATATGCACAGCTTGCAGACTTAACACACAGAATAGGAGAACAAGAAGAACATAGGTTTTGCTATCAAAAATCTTGTGGCGTTCCTGTCAGAAGTCCCTACCGGCATTAACGAGCGATTCTCAACCCTTCGAATAAAGCTCACCTCCTTATATATTCATTGCTCGACAAAAGAACATGGAGCCCACAAGCTGCCCACATTGTAAGCCAAGTGTAACCACAGACTTGGAACAGGCTCTGCTTTGCATAACCTACTCAGATGTTGTGTTGAATGTAATCCAGTGCTCATCACTCTCCTTCCTTCTGCTATGGCAGTGAAGGCAGAAAAGATCTCATAGCCAACACAGGCAGCATTTTCAAAGGGGGGGGTCAAATGAAACTCTGTGTTGGGGGACCCTGGGCGAGGGAGACTAGTTGGGCCAGGATGGAGAAGAGAAGGGGCCAACAGGTTACGCTGGGAAGGGATCCAGTGGACTGGGCCAGTCTCCACCTAGGTCAGGAAAGCCAAAAGAAGAGAATCCCAAGGAATATAATTTTTATTAAATTTTCTGTTTTACAATTTAAAGTACTCGTTTTTACATCCTTAAGATATCAACGACTTCCCTTCTTCTCCTTCCATGCTCCATTTTGCATATCACAAATCCTTGCATATTTTACAAAAAACTATACCATTCAGTATTCCACTATTAAAGGTAAAGGGACCCCTGACCGTTAGGTCCAGTCGTGGCCGACTCTGGGGTTGTGGCGCTCATCTCGCTTTATTGGCCGAGGGAGCTGGTGTACAGCTTCCAGGTCATGTGGCCAGCATGACTAAGCCGCTTCTGGCGAACCAGAGCAGCGCACGGAAACGCCGTTTACCATCCCGCTGGAGTGGTACCTATTTATCTACTTGTACTTTGTGCTTTTGAACTGCTAGGTTGACAGGAGCAGGGACCGAGCAACGGGAGCTCACCCCGTCGCGGGATTCGAACCGCCAACCTTCTGATCAGCAAGTCCTAGGCTCTGTGGTTTGATCCACAGCGCCACCCCAGTCCCATTCCACTATTACATCCATCAAAACTTATTTACGCTGTTGAATTTATCTTCACGTTGCCAGCGTTTTCAGCTGTACACAGTTATTTCCCATATAGTCAACAAACGTTTTCCAACCTTCTCCAAACGTGTATTCTTCTTGTTCTCTTTTTCTGTGTGTTAAGTCTGCAAGCTGCATGTATTCTGTCAACTTAAGTTGCCAAAGGTCCTACATACGTCTCACCTTGCATGAAAAAGAAAGAATGTTCTTGTTCAGATGGACCTTTCCAGAAGAATATGTAGCCTCCTTTTTCTTCCTTCTGGTTGGCCACTGTGAGAACAGGACTCTGGACTCGATGGACCACTGGCCTGATCCTGCTGGGCTCTCCTTATAATTTATGGCCTTGCGTTCTTTTGAGTAGTGTACCAAAGTTTCTCTGGATACGTGAGGTCTGAGTGCCTTTTCCTCCTCACCTTTGAGCATCCCCATCTGAGCAGCTCCATCCCATATAGATGTGAACCTAGGCAAAATTGTTTCTCGGTTTAAAAGAGAGTACAGTGGTACCTCAGGTTACATACGCTTCAGGTTACATACGTTTCAGATTACAGACTCCGCTAACCCAGAAATAGTACCTCAGGTTAAGAACTTTGCTTCAGGCTAAGAACAGAAATTGGGGGGGGGGGGCAGGAGGCCCCATTAGCTAAAGTGGTGCTTCAGGTTAAGAACAGTTTCAGGTTAAGAACAGACCTCCGGAACGAATTACTTAACCTGAGGTACCACTGTATGGCATTTGGGCAAACTCCAGTCTCTGGGGTTTGGGCTAGGGTGGGGTTGGTTTTTTTGAGGGCAGGGGTAAGGGAGTGTTGTAAAAAACAAGAGTTTGTAGGGAAAGCTTCTACTGTGTTGTGATCTTTGCCCCACTTGGGGTTATTTTAAGGAAGGCAATGAATCACAGAAGGGCAGGCCGGCACACAAGGGATGGGGAAAGAGGGAAAGCATTGCAAAAGGGGGATGTGAAGATCAGACAACGTTTGCATTTCAGCCACTCTGAGATCAGCAGTGATGATGACGGAGATCTTCAGCTGGAACCCCCAGAGAACCTCCTCCAGTATACCTGAAGGAGCGTCTCCACCCCCATCGTTCTACCCGGACACTGAGGTCCAGCGCTGAGGGCCTTCTGGCAGTTCCCTCCCTGCAAGAAGCCAAGTTACAGGGAACCAGGCAGAGGGCCTTCTCGGTGGTGGCGCCCGCCCTGTGGAACGCCCTCCCTTCAGATGTCAAAGAGAACAACAACTACCAAACTTTTAGAAGACATCTGAAGGCAGCCCTGTTTAGGGAAGCTTTTAATGTTTGATGTATTACGGTATTTTAATATTTTATTGGAAGCCGCCCAGAGTGGCTGGGGAAGCCCAGCCAGATGGGTGGGGTATAAATTATTATTATTATTATTATTATTATTATTATTATTATTAAGATGGTGAAGGAGGAGTATATAAAGCAGCAGAGTGTGGTGCCGGGTTAGGATTAGGACTGAGAAGGCTCAAATTCAAATCCCCACAGGCATGATTAAACTCATCATTAAGCATTGCAATACAGGGGGGGTTGGACTAGATGACCCTTGGGGTCCCTTCCAACTTTACTCTTTTATGATTCTACAATCACTGGCCCCATCTCTGCCACTATGACGCTGCTTTTCCTCTCTCTCACACGCACCCGGCTCACACATTTAGCCCTTGAATGACATATAGAAAGGGTTCCAGAACCACCCTAGGAGCAAAATAACATCATTATTTTTTTAAAGAGCTAAAAAATTCAAAACTGCCCATGCTGAGAGTAGTTCTTGTTTTTTGTTTTTTTAAAACATCTGTGTTTGCAAACTGTTGCACTAACATATCAGGAATGCGGAAGCAATTGCAAAGCATGACCTAGGAATAGAAGGGGGAAGAGAAAAGAACAGACTCCCTCAGGAGGTGGTGAGCTCTCCTTCCTCAGAGGTTTTTAAGCAGAAGTTGGACGGCCATCTGTCAGGGATGCTTTAGCTGAGATTCCTGCCTTGCAGGGGGTTGGACTAGATAATAATAATAATAATTTATTACTTATACCCCGCCCATCTGGCTGGGCTTCCACAGCCACTCTGGGTGGTTTCCAACAAAATATTAAAATACAGTAAAGGTAAAGGGACCCCTGACTATTAGGTCCAGTCGTGACCGACTCTGGGGTTGCGGTGCTCATCTCGCTCTATAGGCCGAGGGAGCCGGCGTACAGTTTCTGGGTCATGTGGCCAGCATGACTAAGCCGCTTCTGGCGAACCAGAGCAGCACACGGAAACGCCGTTTACCTTCCCGCCGGAGTGGTACCTATTTAACTACTTGCACTTTGACGTGCTTCCGAACTGCTAGGTTGGCAGGAGCAGGGACCGAGCAACGGGAACTCACCCCGGCGCAGGGATTCGAACTGCCGATCTTCTGATCAGCAAGCCCTAGACTCTGTGGTTTAACCCACAGCACCACCCACGTCCCTTTAAAATACAGTAACGTAGTTTAAATAATGTCATGACATCATGACATTTAGCATTGGGGTCCCTTCCAGCGCTACAATTTTATGATTCTTACTCTTAACCCATATATTGAAACATATACATATATATATAATGAGCTAAAGATGATCTTTAGATCTACATTTTTGAAAAAGCCAGAGGCATTCTTGTTAGGAATGGTAGGAGAAGATATAGTTAAGAACGATCAGAAACTGTTTTTCTATGCAACAACAGCGGTGAGGTTACTGCTAGCCCAGGTTTGGAAACAGCAGCAATTACCAACAGTAGAAGAATGGCGACAAAGGTAATGGAATATGCAAGAAATAGCCAAACTAATTGGGGAAATTTGACAACAGGGCGAGGAAACATTTCATAAAGAATGGGAAAAAAATATGTTGTATAAAAGAAAGATAAGATGAAATAGTAAAACCAGTAAAATTGGAAACAAACCTCATAACGGGAAAGATTAAGAAAAGTGATGGATAATGAAAATAATAAGAAACAAAATGTATAAGGAAACTAATATAACCAACAGTAGTGGTAAATGAATACAGACAGACAACAAGAATTGTATAAACATGAGGACTTATTTGTTTATGGATACACTATGGACAAATATGGGAAATGAATAACAATATATAAAATGGAAGAAAATAATGCGATAAAATTATATGTGATATAAAAAACCAGAAGAAGGAAGGAGGGAAGTCAGCTCTGAAGAGCAAGTCTAAATGTAAAATGTAATACAGTATTTGTATGTGGAGTATCTAATTGAAAAACTAATAAAGATTATTTGAAAAGGAAAAGAAAAGAAAAAAGTAACAGTGATGAATCAGTTAGAGCTAGAATTGATTCACAGTGGTTTGAGCAACGAAAGCTTGCAAGCCCATATTCTTACTAGGCTAAAGACCCCAGCTCTTCTCTGTCATGAAATGGGATATGGAAGAAGAGGAACAGACTGCAACCATCAGTGGGGTGGTCCATGCGCCTGGATCTCCACTGAGCTCTTGAGGAAGCCACAGCAAAAGGATCACAGCTGGCCCCCTAAGATTCTCGAGGCATGAGGAAATCTCCCTCTCAAGCAAATTGCTACACGCAGCTCACTGAGGGACTTTCTCTGTTTCAGTCACACTTCCCTCTCAGAACAATTTCACAACTCTCAGCGTTTGGTCACCGTGAGAGTTGCCAACTTTTTAATTGAAAACAACACCACTTGTGTTGTGTTCACACAATAGGCTTTCATGAGCAAAAAACCCACCCCTTTATCATAAGAGGGGCTTTCGGCAGGTTAACAAGATCTGGGCCTAAATTGGTTACACACTCAGCAATTACCATATTTTTCGCTCTATAAGGCGCACCAGACCATAAGATGCACCTAGTTTTCGGAGGAGGAAAACAAGAAAAAAATATTCTGAATCCTAGAAGCCAGAACAGCAAGAGGGATCGCTGCGCAGTGAAAGCAACGATCCCTCTTGATGTTCTGGCTTCTAGGATAGCTGCACAGCCTGCATTTGCTCCATAAGATGCACACACATTTCCCCTTACTTTTTAGGAGGGGAAAAATGCATCTTATAGAGCGAAAAATACGATACACTATTTTCTAAGCATGCCTGAAGTGCAGGAGGCAGTCACCAGGAATTTGAACTGACTCGAGGGTTGGGTTAGATCCAGAATGCACAGACAACTTGTCTTTTTTATATGTTCTTCGCTGTTAAACCTTCTGTTTTTGCCTCTCCCTTCTTTGAAATCTGCTTGGGTCTTCGAAGCGTGTTGACTAATGTGTGGTGGGGAAAGCTGTGGCTTGCTCTCCCTTTTAGATCTGCCTCTGCAAATATTCGAGGAAACTCCTTAAAAACAGCCTGCTGATGGTTCTTGACTCCAGTCCGCCTTGCAGATACAGTGGTACCTTGGGTTACATACGCTTCAGGTTACATACGCTTCAGGTTACAGACTCCGCTAACCCAGAAATAGTACCTCGGATTAAGAACTTTGCTTCAGGGTAAGAACAGAAATCATGCAGCGGCTAATGGAGGCCCCATTAGCTGAAGTGGTGCTTCAGGTTAAGAACAGTTTCAGGTTAAGAACTGACCTCCAGAACAAATTAAGTACTTAACCCGAGGTACCGCTGTATATAAATAGAGTTGGTCACAGGTGATGGCAATCATGTGTACAGATTTGAGGAAGAGGCAAGGAAGGAAATTCCTGAAATGGCAAGTGTACTGGTCCTTTTAAACTTCCAAACCGCGTCTTTTGCCAATTTGGGATGAGTCGAATACAGACTTAATGTGAAAACCACTTATCGTTTTTCTCCAAGTAGCTTAATAATAGTAATATTAATTTATTATTTATCCTCTGCCCATCTGGCTGGGTTTCCCCAGCCACCCTGGGCGGCTCCCAACAGAATATTAAAAACATGATAAAACATCAAACATTAAAAAACTTCCCGAAACAGGGTTGCCTTCAGATGTCTTCTAAAAGTAAGATAGTTGTTTATTTCCTTGACATCTGATGGGAGGGCGTTCCACAGGGCGGGTGCCACCACCGAGGAGGCCCTCTGCCTGGCTCCCTGTACCCTCACTTCTCGCAATGAGAGAGCCACCAGAAGTCCCTCAGAGCTGGACCTCAGTGTCCAGGCTGAACAATGGGGGGTGGAGACGCTCCTTCAGGTATAGCTTGCTTGTCTTGGCTTCCCGGGGTCTCCACTCACCTCCTGAGGTGCAACTGGAGGTGTCAGAAATTGAACCCAAGACTCTCTGTGTGCATTAGTTGGCTGTGATCCAACTAAGCTGTTTGCAAAGGAGGTGGGAGGGCGGGCAGGGAACTTGCCCAAAGCAGCCAGGGGTTCCTTCCAGGCACCCACATGGTACTGTTGAGGGCTGGAATATCCAGCTCCTAGCAGCCATCGATGAGATCGCACCTAGGCGCCCTCTGCGACCCCGCAGAAACCGGGCTCCCTGGTTTACCGAGGAGCTTCGGAAAATGAAGCGGGACCTCAGACGGCTAGAGCGAGTATGGCGGGGTGCCCGTGACGGAGCCTCAAGAACATCTTATAGGGTTTTTATGAAAACCTACGAGATGGCAGTGAAGGCCGCTAAGAAGTCCTACTTCTCGGCCTCCATTGCCTCCGCTAGCTCTCGCCCGGCGCAATTATTTAGTATAATTAGGTCTTTAATGTCCCTTGAAGGACAGCCAAATTTAAATAACAATTTGACACACAGCTGTGAGGCATTTGCGAGCTTTTTTGCGGAGAAGGTCCTGTTGCTCCGCCATGACCTCCCTGCCAATTTGGATACAATAAAGGAACTGGAGGCCCCTCGACTGTCCTCGGGTCCAGTATTGGACCACTTTGACCGGATATCCCCAGGCGATGTGGACAGACTCCTCCGAGCTGGAAAGCCCACCACCTGTCCTCTCGACCCGTGCCCGTCTTGGCTGATTAGAGCGTGTCCAGACGAGGTGCGGGCCCTCCTGGGGGATATCATCAATTTGTCCCTTGGCACCGGGATATTCCCAGGGGAACTGAAGGAGGCAGTGGTGCGCCCGCTCTTAAAGAAAACATCATTAGATCCCTTAGATCTTTCCAATTACCGCCCGGTTTCGAATCTTCCATTCCTGGGTAAGGTGATTGAGAGAGCGGTTGCTGAACAGCTTGGTAGGTTTCTGGATGAAACATCGGCTCTGGATCCATTCCAGTCCGGCTTCGCGCTAGTCATGGGACCGAGACGGCTCTGGTCGCCCTAACAGATGATCTCCACAGGCAGCTGGATCGAAGCGGGTCGGGGCTGCTGATTCTTCTAGACCTGTCAGCAGCCTTCGACATGGTCGATCACGAACTCCTGGACCACCGCCTTGCCGACGTGGGGATCCAGGGCACAGTCCTTCAATGGTTGCGCTCGTTTCTCTCTGGTCGGGGACAGAGGGTGGCGCTTGGGGGGAAATTGTCATCGCGCCACTCCTTGGTGTGTGGAGTGCCTCAGGGTGCGCTTCTCTCCCCGATGCTTTTTAACATCTTTATGCGCCCCCTCGCCCAGCTTGTCCGGAGTTTGGGGCTGGGTTGCCATCAGTATGCTGATGACACCCAACTCTATCTGTTGATGGATGGCCATCCTGACTCGGCCCCAGACACACTGACCAGATGTCTGGAGGCTGTGGCTGGATGGTTACGTGGGAGCCAGTTGAAGTTAAATCCTTCGAAGACAGAGGTCCTCTGGCTGGGACGGGACGATATGGGATTGAGGGGGCAACTCCCATCTCTTGCGGGGGTGCAATTAGTGCCAGCATCGTCCGTTAAGAGTTTGGGTGTAGTCTTCGATACCTCCCTCTCTATGGAGGCGCAGATTACAGCTATAACAAAGGCGGCATTTTTTCATCTCCGCCAAGCTAAGCAGTTGGCTCCTTATCTCTCTCGCCCTGACCTAGCCACTGTGATCCACGCGACGGTCACCTCCAGACTGGATTATTCTAACTCGCTCTACGTGGGGCTGCCCTTGAGACTGACCCAGAAACTCCAGCGGGTGCAGAATGCCGCGGCAAGACTCCTTATGGGGTCTTCGCTGCATGATCACATTCATCCGGTAGTATACCAACTGCACTGGCTCCCGGTGGAGTACAGGATCAGGTTTAAGGTGCTGGTTTTAACCTTTAAAGCCCTATACGGCCTAGGACTCTCGTACCTACGGGACCGCCTTTCCTGGTATGTCCCACAGAGGAACTTACGGTCTGCAAATAAAAACATCCTGAAGATCCCAGGCCACAGAGAGGTTAGGCTGGCCTCAACTAGAGCCAGGGCTTTCTTGGCCGCAGCTCCAATCTGGTGGAACGCTCTGTCACAAGAGACTAGGGCCCTGCGGGACTTGACATCTTTCCGCAGGGCCTGCAAGACAGAGCTGTTCCACCAGGCCTTTGGTCAGGGCGCAGCCTGACCCCCTCCTCTGGCAATCTGCACAGAATTTTGCTTAATGGTTGCCACCAATTTGATTTTAATTAATTTTTATAATGAAATGTTTTTAGAACGTTGGATTATTTTGATTGTTGTTAGCCGCCCTGAGCCCAGCTTCGGCTGGGGAGGGCAGGATATAAATAAAAGTTGTTGTTGTTGTTATTATTATTATTATTATTATTATTATTGGGCTGGAAGCAGCTGCTGCTGTCCCCTTTTCCTTTTTTAAATTTTTTTATTCAAAATTAAAACAAAACATATTATCCAGAAACATATCATCCTTATTTTTTCCATTTGTCCTCCCTCCCTCCCCCCACTCACCCACACAAAACCCACCCACCCCCACCCCCCAGCTTCCCTCAGTTCCAGTCTTTGATTTCTCTGAGAATGCTGTTTTCTGTATGTTACAAAGTTGTATAGATCCTCAAACTATTTAGCTAATTATTATCAATAAAAAGTTTGTGAATGTTTATTCAAAACCTGCCAAGGAGTCCAGTTCGCTTTGTTGCGTCTTCAGATACTTTGTAAAGGGTTCCCATTCATCCTTAAAGTCACAGTTATCCTTGTCCCTTAGCTTATATGTCAGTTTTGCCAGTTCTGCATAGTCCATCAATTTTTCTTGCCATGATTCTTTAGTTGGGGTTTCTTCAGTCTTCCATCCTTGTGCTATTAGAACTCTCGTGGCCGTTGTCACATACATGAAGATGTTTTTCAGCTTTTTTGGCAGATCTTTCCCTACAATCCCTAACAAAAATGCTTCAGGTTTTTTAACAAATGTCAAATGGAACATTTTCTTCAATTCATTGTATATCATTTCCCAATTTTTTAAAATTACCTTACAATCCCACCACATATGATAAAATGTTCCCTCCTTTTCCTTACACTTCCAACATATCGTATTTTTTGCTCTATAACTTTTTCCCTCCTAAAAAGTAAGGGGAAATGTGTGTGCATCTTATGGAGTGAATGCACGCTGAGCAGCTATCCCAGAAGCCAGAACAGCAAGAGGGATTGCTGATCCCTCTTGCTGTTCTGGCTTCTGAGATTCAGAATTTTTTTCTTGTTTTCCTCCTCCAAAAACTAGGTGCGTCTTGTGGTCTGGTGCGTCTTATAGAGCGAAAAATACAGTATATTTGAACTAGTTTTATACATTTTCCCTAACTGCACTGGTGTCGTGTACCATATGTACATCATCTTCATGTAATTCTCCTTTAATAGGGAACAATCTGTAATTTTTAAATCAGTTTTCCATAATTTTTCCCAATCTTCCATCATAATATTATGACCTACATCTTGTGATGTTTTCCCCCTCTCCTGACTTTTTCTCTTCTCTTCCGCCACAGATCCGGGCTTACATTGGGGGCATCAACCCTGACCACATCGAGAATGAGGACATGAAAGCCTTCCGATTCAGCGCCTTCAACCCCATCGTGGACCCGTGGCTCTTCATCATTTTCCGCAAAACCGTCTTCCGCAGCATCCGGAACTTTTTCTACTCCCAGTTCTGGTGGCCCTGGTGGTCCAGGACGCAGAAAGCATCTGCCACACTTGGCACACAGGATGGCATCCCTTTCCAAGACTATTCCGCTTGCTGAGAGACAAAGCCACCCTACAGACGGGGCGCTTCCTGGCAGTGGGCGCAGAGGGACGGGGTGACGACTCAGAGGAGGAGCTGAAATGATGTCCCACCTGCAGAGCATCTCAACAAGGATCCAGGAACTGGTGGGGTTAGGTTGGAGCAGGTGCGGGTGGTGGCGAAGGAACAGGTCTTTGGAGGGGAGAGATTCTTTTCCCCTACAATGGCATCCCCCATAGGGAAATTTCCAGGAGGACACGGGAAGTGCCCAATTGGTCCGTCCAGCTCAGGAATGTCTCGACACTGATTGGCAGGTGCTCTCCAAGGTTTCAGGCAGGAGACAATTCCAGCCCTACCGGGAGATTCTGCTACCTGGGACCTTGAACATGCAAAGCGGGTACTCTATATCAGGGGAGTGATGACCCTTTCCATAGGGATGCTCTGCTTTGCTTTTCCTCATTGGTTAAAGAGGACGGGAGATCAGATTAAAAGGGCGTCTGTAATTCAAGCACCAAGAGGGCAAAACAGAGGAAGAGGATGGAGAGAGAGAGAGAGGGAGGATAAATGTGACTGTATAGCATTCGGTTTGCCTGCATGTTGAGCAACCTGTGCCAGTCCCAGCTCTGCCTTGTTTGCTAACGTACCCAAACGGATAATGGATATTAAGTTTGTCCAGTTTCACGCTTCCAGCGTCGATTAGCGCACAGGGTTCGATTGTGAAGCTTTACTGTGAATCTTTGAAGGTGTAGAAATAAAAAGCGGCGAGTTTCTATCCACCACGCCTGCGTGGCTGTACTTTAAAATGCACACAGACAGAGCTCAAAAAGGGCCTGGCGAGCCTGTGGCTTAACTCTCGCGTAAACACAGCATGGTAGAAACTTTCGCCAACCTAGGATCATAGAGTTGGAAGGGGTCACCGGGTCATCTAGTCCAACCCCTTGCATCCATGACAGATATAATAATATAATAATAATAATTTATTGTTTATACCCCGCCCATCTGGCTGGGCTTCCCCAGCCACTCTGGGCGGCTTCCCCAAAAAATATTAAAATCCTGTAATACATCAAACATTAAAAGCTTCCCTAAACAGGGCTGCCTTCAGATGTCTTCTAAAAGTCTGGTAGTTGTTCTCTTTGACATCTGGTGGGAGGGCGTACCACAGGGCGGGTGCCACTACTGAGAAGGCCCTCTGCCTGGTTCCCTGTAATTTCGCTTCTCGCAGTGAGGGAACCGCCAGAAGGCCCTCGGCGCTGGACCTCAGTGTCCGGGTAGAACGATGGGAGCCATCCAACCTCTGTCCTACAGCTCCCATCAGCCCCAGCCAGCACAGCACAGCTGTGTCTGATGGAAGTTGTAGTCCAAAACATCTCCAGGGTATCAGGTTGGGGGAAAGTTTCCAAGGCGTACACAACTTTCTATTGCCATGTTGTTGAGCCAATACAAGCCACCTAATGCTCCAATCCTAAACAAGTCTATTCATAAATAAGTCCTGCTGAATTCAATGCTGCTTACTCCTGGGTAAGCAGGGTTAGAATTGCAGCCAAAATGTTTTCCCCAGAGGCTCAAAGTGGGGCGAGCCTACAAGCTATAATCCCTCTTTCCAGCTGACTTCGCCTTTCTGCTCTCCAGCCTACAGCCTTCCACTCAAAAGAGAATCAGGTTGCTATTCCATATGATTATAGGGATGAACTTCAAAATATATGGCTAAAGTAAGGTTACAAGATGTTCCTGTTTCCCAGGGACAGTCCCCGGATTTACAAATCATTCCCATACAAAATCCACTGAAGTTGAAAAGTGTCCCCAGATTCATTGAAAAAAATATGGTAACCTTAGGCTAAAGACCAGCGGGAGAGCGGAGCATGACAGGATGGGGCCTCAGTGTCAAGCCCTGCTTAGTTTGTTACTCTCTGAATGCCTGCTTTTGGAAGTAGACTGATTTGGGAGACCAAATTTGTTCTGCCCATCCAAGCACCTGTAACTCCTGTTCTTCCTCCCCCAAGTTGCACCACACTTGCCAGAAGCTCCGGAAGACTTAAGGCCCCAGAGCAAATATTTCTTTTACTTGCTAATCTCCTGCATGTTCTTCCAGATCTCTCCATCCCCTCCCCCCACTCCGCCATCCAACTAAGCAATAATCCCCTCTGTGTAAATATTTGGAGTCCAAGTCCCAAGACAGGAGTACTAGAATTCCCCCATCATAGCTCTCTCTGCACATGTGCTGAACTGAACAGCTGTCAGTTAGAAGGGTGTCCTTAGCCGCCTCCAATATTGGGGGAACCAGTGGGAGAGGAAATAGGGCAGGAGAGAAAATGGACACCCTGCAAGTACACACAGAACTGCCATCTATCCCTCATCCCCTCTATTTGAAAGTGCCACCAAGGGAACTTTCCCATATACTTCATTTTCTGGGGTGCAGGAGAGTCTATAGGTAAATCTTAATTTCCGTTTCTCTCAGTCTCTTTTGCTTTTCTCAGTCTTAAGTCCAGTTCTCCACATTTCCACACAAGTTTGCAATTTTTATGTGTCTGTGTGTTTAATAAATAATAATAATAATTTATTATTTATACCTCGCCCATCTAGCTGGGTTTCCCCAGCCACTCTGGGCGGCTCCTAACAGAATATTAAAAACACGATAAAATATCAAACATTAAAAACTTCCCGAAACAGAGCTGCCTTCAGATGTCTTCTAAATTCAGATAGTTGTTGTCTTTGACATCTGGTGGTAGGGCGTTCCATGGTACCAAGAAGGCCCTCTGCCTGGTTCCCTGTAACCTCACTTCTCACAGGAAGGAAACTGCAAGAAGGCCCTCGGAGCTGGACCTCAGTGTCTGGGTAGAACGATGGGGGTGGAGATGCTCCTTCAGATATACTGGACCGAGGCCGTTTAGGGCTTTAAAGGTCAGCACCAACACTTTGAATTGTGCTTGGAAACATACTGGGAGGCAATTTAGTAGGTCTTTCAGGACCGGTGTTATATGGTCTCAGCAGCCACTCCCAGTCACCAGTCTAGCGGCCGCATTCTGGATTAAATGTAGTTTCTGGGTCACCTTCAAAGGTAGCCCCACATAGCACTGCAGTAGTCCAAGTGGGAGATAACCAGAGCATGCACCACTCTGGCGAGACAGTCTGTGGGCAGGTAGGGTCTCAGCCTGCGTACCAAATGGAGCTGATAAACAGCTGCCCTGGACACAGAATTGACCTGCGCCTCCATGGACACCTGTGAGTCCAAAATGACTCCCAGGCTGTGCACCTGGTCCTTCATTCAGGACCAGGGAGTCCTCCACACCCACCCACCTCCTGCCCCCCCCAAACAGTACTTCTGTCTTGTCAGGATTCAACCTCTATGTTAGCCACCATCAAGTCTGCAATTGTAATTTTTAGGTCCTCGTGGAAATTCACCAGCATTTTGGTGCAAATTTCTCCTCTAACATACACATTTTTGCAAAGCGTATTTCTCCAGACTTTCATCTTTCCCCTAATATCACGCATTTGATATGCTGTTTTCACACACACAAGCACACTTTACCCATTGTAGATGCATAAAACTCTGTTGGAGAACTGAACTGCAGAATTTTGCCCTGTCGTGCTGCTTTCCCCTCTTCCCATTTGCCACCAGTCTGCAGTTTGCAGGGACAGCGCCATCTGTCAGCAGCCACGCCAATTACAATGTGATGACAGCCTTGCACACATATAGCAATGGAGAGAAATAAAGCGAACTTCTCAGCTGTGCATAAAGTGACTCATTTCTACATCCTTTAGCTGGAATCCAATACCTGAGGATTCAGCTTTGTGGGCCAGACTTAGCAGCATCCCTGATACTTCTGACAGTGGTGGCTGGACTGCACAACGCTCATCTTAGCACTGGTTGCTAGGCAACACATAGGTGGTACAACTCAGGCACACTCTAGCAGACTATGATAATATGGCTTTAGCACAGGGGTGGGGAACGTGTGCCCGCCCCCAGAAGTTGGCGGACTACAATTCCCATTATTCCCGACAGTCGGTCACACCGGCTGGGGCTGATGGGTGCTGGAACCCAGCAAAAACTGGTAAGCCACTGGTTTCAAGTAGTTGTTTGAGAGAGATGTTGGTCCCTGAACTTTTGCCCACCACCCCTCACACACCCCTTAGAAGACTCCACATGGAAAGCAGCTGCTCACACTAACAAGGAGGTCAGTTTTTGTAGGAATCATTCAGAAGTTTGAAAGCAAGAGACCTAAGAGCGTAAGGCCAGAAGCCTACCCTCCAATATTTTGCCAATGAGAATAGGGAAGCACTATTCAATAATAATAATAATATTGTATTGGCCCGAATATAAGCCGCACCCGCAAATAAATCACACCTTTAAAAATCACAGGGGGGGGGGGAGAAAAAGACAATATAAGCTGCTCCCTTAAAATTCCACAGGGACTTACACCCGTTCTGTTTTACTATATGTCTGTTTCAGCAGCGATATCACAAAAGCCCATTTTTGCAAGGTTGCGAATTTAAGCCGCATTTTAACTATTCATGGTCGGAATGTGGGAAAAAGTGAGGATTATATTCGGGCCAATATGGGATTTGAAGGCATTTGCCAGCTCATTTTTTGGGGGGGGTGGAATTCAGCATCTTTAGCTCAATCGGCGGGGGGCCACACACCATTAAGCCTCGCTTCGAAAAGCTCTTTGCTGTCAAGCGTGAACCTCTTAATTCCTCTGCTGGGAGATACCAGGTCGCTGTACCTCCCCAAAGCAAGGCACAACAGGTCCAGCAACCTCCAGCAGACCGGCAAAGGGAGCAGCCAGGATGGAAATGCGAGGAAAGAGATATCTGGTTGTCCCACTTCAGAAAAGAGATTGCAGAGTTGGAAAAGGTTTGGAAAAGAGACTGAAATGATTAAGGGGATGGGGCAGCCCCTCTGTAAGGCTGCAGCAGGAGGGACTTTTTAGTTTAGAGAAAAGGCAAGCGAGAGGGCGACACAATAGAAGTTTACCGAATTATGCTCGACTTTGAGAGACTGGGCAGAGAAAAGTTTTGTCTCCCTCTCTCTTAACTCTCAAACCCGAAGACTTCCAATGAAGCTGAATGCTGGAGGGGGTGACCTCCTCTGTCTGGTGCAACACGTTCAAGAAGTTCCCACCACTTTCCTGACCCTCCACCTCTTTCTGTGCACATGACCCACCTTGCGCAAGTGCCTGGTCATTGCCATCCGCAGGGCAGATGAGTTCGCAGGATGCAAAGGCATTTCCTCCTTCTGCTGTCCTAGGGGTGGTTCGGGCCAACGGTTTGAGCAATTGTGCTTCTTTGCAACAACCCCTGACTTAGGCTGGAGGAAACGACACCAGTGGGTGGGGAGCAGCCAGAGTTACCCCAGAGTACCGTATTTTTCGCTCTATAAGACGCACTTTCCCCCTCCTAAAAAGTAAGGGGAAATGTGTGTGCGTCTTATGGAGCGAATGCAGGCGGGAGCTCAGCGCTCCCTTTAAAGAGCCACGTGGAGCGTGTGGGCGGCTCTTGCTGCCCTTCTCCCTCCTCGGGGAAAAGCCCCCAAGAGCCGCACACACACTCCGCACGCTCTTTAAAGGCAGCACGGCTCTTGGGGGAGCCTTAGCCGTGCACAGCCTCTCCCGGGCATGGGATGAAGGCTCCCCTTGCCCGGGAGAAGCTGCGCACAGCTATCCCATAAGCCAGGACAGCCAGCGGGATCGCTGCGCAGCAATCCCGCTTGCTGTCCTAGCTTCTGGGATTCAGAAATTTTTTTCCTCGTTTTCGTCTTCCAAAAACTAGGTGCGTCTTATGGTCTGGTATGTCTTATAGAGCAAAAAATATGGTACATGTCAGCATCAGAAAATTTTCATGCGCTTCGCCCCCAGGAAAACACACAGGAGGTGGCCTGCACATACCGCCCTTGGTTC